CCCAGCAGCAACAGCAAAATAACTATTGTAATAAAAAATGTTTGGTTAACCATCCTTTTGCCCTGACTTAGCCCCCAGTGATTTTTACTTGTATTCGAAATAGAACCACCTTTTGGCGGTACTCAACTGTTATTTGTTAATGTTCTTTTTAAAATGTTGAATTTGTATCTATACATATTTAAAATAATTATATTTATATAATTGTTTATGTATTTGTTAGATTAATTGGTCCCGAGTTAGAACTTGTTTGAATTTAATTGATGCTTACAAGTCTAACTAAAATGTTTTTCAGTTAGCTGTTGTTTTACGATGACAGACCCAAAAGTACTTTAAAAAATCTAACGCAAATCTTCACATGTTGCCAAATATGTTGTACTTACTGTCCAACATCTTTTGTAGATAAATTAAATTATCTTTTTTAACAAACGTCTACTCTACGTTATAAATAATTATTCTAAATCTGATATACATTTCCAATGTGTGGTCTTTCTAAGTTTTTTTTTTTTATTTATTACTATTAATTATTTAATCTTGGCACAGTATATTGTTGTTCAATATTTAGATAAGTCATACGTGTAAATAAATTGTATATATCATTATAAAAGTATGTTAATATTTTGTATTATTGTATATCAACAGCTATTTTGTGCATATAAAATAATATTTTTGCTACAGTAGTACAAAATAAGATGCTAACAGCGCTTTAACAGAAAGTAATAACAGTATTTTCAATTTTTAACTTAAAAATCATGTATATATAATTATTATATTGTTTGTGTTTTGTAGATTTATTTTAGTCAATTTTTTCTATATTTATTATTTTTGAATGTGAGCTATTTTTTTGTGATGTGTGAGATTATATGGTTTTAGAGAATTGCGTGGCAAAAATAAGCCTTAAGAAATATTTAAACTACGTAAATAAGAATAATTTACAATTTTTTTTTTCACTGTATGTAATATTTTTAAGTGTCTCTAAAAATAAACAAAACTTTATTAATCTACATTCTTTTATTTTAACTCCCAATTAGAAACTTTCCTTAATAGAATAATTTTAAACCTCTTGGGGAAAGTTAAATGTCTATTTATATTTTATTCTTTAGATATATTAAAAGGTCTCTTCTCACCAGGCCTACACACACATCCATATCTGGGTCTAGTATAGAACATGAGGAAGAGGAACAGACCTATTCAGTGGCGTAGCCAGCCATTTTTCATGAAAGGGTTTTTGAGAACTATGGCGACATCCATCAAGAAAGTGAATAAAAACAGTCACTAGCGATCAGCGCCAATACTATAGCGGAAATGGTGGTGCTAGGACCCTCCATGGGGGGTTCTGACTTCCAAAACTCCCCGTGGCTATGCCACTGGACCTATATGATCGTTCTTTCCTATTCGGTGGCTAAACTCGTCACCAGTTTTTCCCAGTAACCAAATCTTAAAAACCTCACTTTAAGATAACTGATTACGTAAATGATGAGCCAAATAAAGTTGTTTATATATTATATTCTAGGTTTTGAAAACTGTTCTTTCACAAAGAAGTAATAAATTCAAATTCTTAAATGTGACCAATTTAAAAATAAAAGAAGAAGAGAAAACTCAAAGTTTGTCCCAAAATCATCGAGTGGCCATTTCCCTCCTTAAAACAACTACTCCATTGGCTAATACCGTAACAGGCATGGCATTGTATCAAAAGGTAACTAGCAAAGATAGAAAAAAAATGTGTAACACTAACTTTGATTTTGCTTCGTGAGGAGAACGTCATTCTTGGGCCGGTCTCGTCTTTATTAGGACTCATCAGCAAGAAATAGACAATCTCGACTCTAGTCTCTAATGAAGTCTGTCGGATATACAAAATTCGCTAGCACACATTAACAGAGGTTGAGTGTAGACATTCAACGAGCAAAATGATAACGCCATTTGCACTTGTTTTTTTTTAATTTGTTGTCATCGGCGTCGACTACTAAGGCCATTAGCATCGTGTTCTGTGTAGGCTTTGTTACTGTTTCCCAGCGCCACTTTAGGAACAGCACTGTTAATTGGAACCCAACAGTGAATGGTCGAGTGGGGAATCCTACCAAGGCATCAGAATTAATTTTAAATAATTAACTCCCGGCCAACGGTAGGATTCGAACCTGGGACCCTTGGATCCACAGGCAGAGACTCTACCACTGAGCCACCCACCCCTTACTTCTGTTTTGTATTATTATTTCATTCAAGTGATAAGTTTTAAAATTAACTCCTGTCGCACCACTTAGAAGATACCCATGGAGGAAGGATAAGATACCATTTCGGTAGGCGCGACAGACGACCGCCGACGCGACCGAGAAGTGTCTCTCCACGTCTAAAATACATACAATTATATGAAACACATTTCGCACGACGCGACACGAGAAGTGTCGTCAAGGCGACATTTCTGAATCTGTCTCGGGGCAAAGCGTTTGCTGCATGTCGCCCTCGAGGTCACTGTCCTCAGGCATCTTTTTGGAGGTGATTAGTTTGGAAATTTCTTTCGATGTAAGCAGTGTTGCCAGATTTTGGAACAGTATGGGTGAAAAAAAAAACCGTATATCTGAACAGTAGATTTTAATACAGGGGGAAATAATTAAAATTTGCAGTGTAGTAAATAAAAAAACAAGTATATAAGAAACGAAACAAACTGTTTTTCTACCCAAATTAGAAGGTAAACAAAGAATAACATTTTTAATATATACTTAACGTACGGAAACAAAAAAAAAACAATGAAAAATAATAGGTACCTACTTCTTTTAGATCAGTCTAAATCAGGTAATTCAAAATCGTAGTGTTTGGCATATGCATGTTCTTTTTATGATGCCCTATTAATTCTTTGTTTCATTTTAAATAAAAACAATGATTATCTCGATGTTTTTTTTTTATGGAGCCAACCTACAGTAGTGGATGCCTTATTACGCTGCTTTTACTGCAGAAAATTTACTAGAGAAAATATTCTTTAACCATTTGCTGAAGAATGAGGCAAACTTAATAAATTTAGAAGAACATTTGCTAGAGACAAAAACAGTGGATCTACGTAAAAACAGTAGGTCTGGCAACGCTGATCGTTCCCTCGAATGGTTATCCTGTGTCTCGCGACCCGTCTCCAAGCTTCCGAAATTTATGCATCTGTCGTCCTTTGGGTCGCCTCGGTGATCTGTCTCCTGACGCGCCTACCGAAATGGTACCTAGAAAGTTATTTTCATTGGAAGCACCACTTTGGCAACCAGTTTCAGCATAAGCCCTTCATCGGTCCTAAAAGTGGTCAACAATATAAGGAGTGATCTATAAAAAGTTTTTATAGTGGTCCATGTCCGACAAAAAGACATATGAGTACATGTCCGCGACAACTGCGCACGGCTCTGAACCAAAAGCAAATTGTTATTTAAAAAAGAAGAAGCAAGGTTATTCCTGTCTTCAGGAAAGGTGATCTGCAACAGGCGAGTAACTATTGACCTATAATAATTATTTTGCCGTCTATTTTATCATAAATGTTCCAATAAGATTAAAAATGCCGACCAAAATGTAAATAAACAATAGTATTGGTGTACATGATCAATCATTGAGCATCTTTTTTTGTATGGTCGCCGACAATAAGTCTAAATCATCAAAGGTCTCTGATACTCTTAATATAAATATATAGGTATTCCACAAGGATCAGTTTTGGGCCCAATCTTATTTTAGTCTTCACAAATTTAATTGAAAATCCTGGTCTGTACATTTCCCTCTCAATTTAGACTACGTTTACTCCAAATATAACTTCACATTACAAAATTACAATGATTTAATATGAACTGAAGTTAGATATGTAGGGAAAAGAGTAAAAGGAGTAAAACTTCCGAACTGAACGTATTATTTCTGAAAATAACACTCTTTGCTTCAAGTAAGGTGCAATGAGGTTTTATCAAATCTGCACAACTGGTTCACTGCAAATACACTCTATTTTAATATTGATACGATTTGTACAGTAAATTTTACATTGAGCAAACCACTGTGAAGCAGTTGTCTTAAAGAAAATAATATTACTTTCCCTAATTCACCTCCTTACAAGTGAATTTTAATCCCTGATGCCGACTGAACTTCTGTGAGAAAGATATGCCAATTATTTGCCGTGGCGTTTCAGGGCAACTTAAAGATGATTGATGTGCTATTTGACTTACAGGTGAGAAACGTCTCACCAAAGTGGGAAACAATGATTTTGTGCATTCGATTTTGTAAACCCAATTTTAATTATTGTTCCTTTGTATTTTATAACAATTATTTTTAGCTTTTAGTTCTTAAGATTCTGATCATTATTCTTCCATTTTAGGCCTGGTGATGACCCTTAGGTTGAAAACGGTTGCAATTTTTTTATAATTTTAATTAAAATTTGTGGTACAGATTTTAAGTATTTTGTCTTTTTTAAAAAGAATTTCATTCAAAGGAAATGATCTGCAAACTACAAAGGTTGAAAATAAAATTTGCAATGCCCGTTTGGGGTAGGAACACATATTTTGTTAGTTTTAGAAATGTTACAAATTATACAAGTCCAAAAAAAGTAACTATAATCCCTTTAGAATTTTAAGGGATGTAGTTATTTGGAAAGGTTTTCCATTCTGAAAACTCCAAACATATAAAGGATGTAGATTTATACAAATGAATTATTGAAATATTTCAAAAAAAATGGAAAAAATAAATTTTCCAAAGAAGAAACTATTAGAAACCGCCTGATATGCAGTTGAAACAAACTGGAAGAGGACACTATCTCACCCAGATCAATCAATCAGTTTAAGAGTCGGCTAGATGAAGAACTGAAAAATGCTTTCAACGTTCTAGTCCGTTACACCCTATATCTTTTGTGTTACCAAGAGCGGATCCAGGCTGAATTTTCGGGAGGGGGCATGCTAATATATTTTTTTAAAGTAGGGTGAGCATATTTGTTTCGATACTCGACCAAATAAATTCTTATTAATTCTGGAAAAGTTGAAATTTTTTTTGGTATTATTTTACCGACTTTAGCAAGTGATGGAAATGTTTGCTCCATATTCAGTAGTCTAAGTTGCAGTTCAAACGATATTTACCGCCATTTCTTTAATGACTCCAAATTCCACTGTCCACTTTACCTATCTTGCAAAAATAATAAGAAAGCAAATTCTGAATTTTTTTAATTTAAAATCTAATATATATTATCTATTCTATTTCTTCATAACTGCTGACATCTTCATCCTCATCAGTATCTTCTTCATCATCAGAATCTGGAGGCAAAGGGCCATTAGTGACCAACAACCCCCTTTCCCATAAATCGGCTACCAATTGTGCTTTGGCAATGTTATTTTCTGTTAATTTCTCAACTTCTATAAACTTAGGATAAATTCTTTGCAATTTTTCAATACAAGGAATCAGACTGGGATCGATTATAAGGAACTGTTCTTCTTCACCATGATAATATTTGGCATTTTCTGTATTGTAGTAGATTTTTGGTGAATCTTCTTCCACAACTAGTCGCATACAGAAATACCTCAGCAATCTTACTTCAGTATCCATTGCAATTTCAACTCTAGAAAATTTGATATACCATTGAATGTAATTTTAAAAATTAAAATGTATGAATTATAGCTGACAGAAATTACCTATTGAGAATTTTCCCATCTTTCATGAAATCGCCATCATATTTTGAAGTAAAGTTTACTTCTTGCTTTGACAAAACTGGAGGCATAGAGTCATACATAAATTTACGACCAAGATTGTCAACTGCTGAATCAACATCTATGTAATCTGTCAGAGAATGCATGAGCTTTTTCACATTTTCCACTATATGTTTCCTTTCTTTGGATTTTATCTTTTTATTTACATAACCAGTGTGTTTTAAGTAATTAAGAGGAAGGCCTTTCCTAAAAAAAAGATTGAATGATTTTGTTGCTAAAATTGCCCATATTAATTAGTTAGGTTTATATTTACATGCACTCACCTGAAATTTAAATTTCCTAGGGCAGCCTTCTTTAGTGCTGCAGGCAAGGCGTGTTCAAGTAAATCTGCATAAGAATTGTGTTGATAAACTGAAACTGTGATGTGAAAAGAATGTGAATCTGGATCAGTTCTGCCTTCATGAATAGTACCTCTAGGGAAATATAACATATCACCAGCATTTAAAGTTTCTTCCATAAAAGGTTCTCCAATGTCTTCATATTTTAAGTTGGGACTAGAATATCTTGCTAATATATCACTACCTCTAAAAAGTAAAAGATGAAGAAATAATAAAATAATATGACCTGACCAAAAGATGAATAAATGAGTCTGATGTCTGATATTATTAATTACTATTTCTTAACATAAAACCCAGATTTTTAAAGGCTTTACATGTAATGTTTTCCATATGAGTTTTAAAAGTTAACTCAGAGTCACATAAGATCTGAAGATCTCATATTTTACATACTCTTTAATATCACTGTCATTTATAACATTCACAAGAATAGCTTGTTACACATCTCGTAAATGTAATTACAAAGCAAAGCACTTACTTCCAAGGTGTGTGCAATGCACCATTTAATAATAAAAGTTTAAAACACTAATATCAATATTTGTGCACAAGTCCACAAGCAACAATAATTAAAATTGGAAGAAGTATCTGATGATTGATTACTGAAATGTAAGCATTGCTTACTATATCGTGGCCCCCACATGGGTGAGGCGGGGTGGACCCCTTTGTCCAGGGCCTGGCCCAACCCCTTCACAATTATTTTTTTTAATTATTATAATTTAATACAAACTAGAAAAAATATTTTGAATAGCTTAAAATTTAAAAAGATATTTATAATAAACTTATAATGAACTTCAGCTAGAAGTATGAAATTAATTCAAATCTTCTGTTGTCCTTACTGTTTTGAATTTTCTCATGACAGATTTAAAAACAAGATTTGCGAGCTGAGAACAAAGTTGAGATCTAGTTTTGGCTTTCATGAACCTAGAAAATAATGAACTGAAAGTTAAAACCAATCTTGTCTCTAAAGTATCCTTCACTCAATAGATTCAGCCGAAATAATAGACAGTAATTTAATGTGTGAGGTGAGGAATGCTGTCATATGTCACTGCGCCAAAGTTTGGAGACATTTTTGGAGATAACGGGACAAGGATTTTTTTTTCAGTGGTGGGAATATATTGCAATTGCATATATGGCACTTCTATCAGCATTCTTTGCATTAAATTACTGTCCTTTATATCGGTATTCAACTATAGTAGAAGACATTCTAAACATGAAGAGGGTCTATAGTAGTCTTCCAATCAGAAAAGGACCCAATGAAGCTTCTTAACTCTAAATATGAGACAAACTTTCCAGTAATTTTTTTGAAACCGTGTACTGCAATTAAGACTTTTGTATGATTCCAGTAACATTGTCTATAACTGAAAGGTCTTTTAGTAGACTGGTGAACTCTTTAAAAACTTGGCAAAGAAGCACAATGGGCCAAAGTCATCTTGACCATTTAACAATTTTAGCAATTGAAAATGAATTGGCCAAAATGCTTAACTTTTTCAATGTAATTGATCATTTTAATCAAGAGAAAGCTTCCTTCGCAGTAAGAATTCTCAACTGAATTATTACTAATAGTAACGATTTTGGATAAAAAAACATTCACGGAACAAAAAGAACTGAATTATTGGTTTTATCCTGTGTTCCCCTTAAAATTATTATTGGTTCTGTGTTATATCTGGAATAATAATAATAATAATACTCTCCCTAATTCACCCCCTTACGAGTGAATTTCAACCCCTGAAGTCGACTGAACGACTTGTGTAGGGGAAGGGACGGCTATTATTATTATTTGCCGTGGCGCTCCGGTGCGACTTAAAGATGATTGATGGTGCCATTTGACTTACAGGTGAGGAAACACGGAAAACCTCACTCACCATCATCGAGACGGTAATGCATGGCGATTTTTTAATCTGCATGTCATATCAACAGAAATTGATTTTCTATTAATACGGCACACTTCAAATCCTAAACCGAACCATGCAATTTAATTAAAAATCCACATGGTCTGGTCTGGGATTCGAAGCCCAGCAGTCTCAGACTCATAAACTTGCCTAGAAATGAATATAAGCGCGTTAGACCGCTACACTACCGACCCGATTAAATAACGGGATATAATAGAAGTTGCGTGCGCCGTAAAAATTTAGATTATCATACAGAAGCACGAGATCTATTGTGGCTCTCCTATATCGCAGAAATTTGTACTGAACTTGCTCCAAGTTGTTAATATGTATATTATAGTAAGGTGACCATAGCCAAGAAGCATATTTAAGGTGACCATAGTCAAGAAGCATATTCAAAGTGAGGTCTAACTAATGATACATATAAAGGTTTTATTGCAGATATATTTGAGAACCAGAAGTGAAAATTTTGCAATTTTAAGTTTTTAGGTTTTAAAGATACATATTAAGAACTCACAATTTTACTGATCAACTCTCGGGAGAAGGGATGCAAAAATGAGTGTATAAAAATAGAAATTAAAACATTTCCTCCAATGTTATACCACTTGTTCTTGATAAAGATGAAGATGTGTTGAAATTGAATAAGGACATTGATGATCTGAATAAATTAAGTAAAAATATGGTTACCACGATAAGCATTTTAGGAAAAGAAAATGAAACACTCCAGAATGATGCAAAGAAAATTAGTAAGGAATATGTCAAGAAGTTGGCAAATTTAGAGAACGAAATTTCTAAACTAGAAGCTTCAAACAAAAATATGGAAAATGCGCTGCAAAAACTAAAAAATCAGAAAGAAGTGATATTTAGTCCAGAAAATATACCAAGTGTAACTTTTACAAAGAGTCCTAGGCAAATTTTGATACTGACTGATGAGACTGGTAGAGGATTAGATAGGGAATTAAGAAAAAGGTATTCCGGAGTAAATATCAAAATTCATATGATTATAAAACCCGGTGCGCAATTCGTTAGTGTAATAGAAGATGTTGAAAATTTATCAAGAAATTTTACGGCCCAAGATTTCATCATTGTAATGGCTGGACCCAATGACTTTTTCAATAAACGATACCCTAGCATTAAGAATATAAATTACAAATTAAAATGTTGTACACAAACAAATTTCATATTTTTATCTGCTTCCAGTCCTAATAAAGAATGCGCCCAACAAGTCTCCAAATTTAATAATAAGTTATTTAGTTTTCTGGAAGTCTTTAATAGGTAACACGAAAGACCTGCTATTTTTTTAAACACCAACTACAATAACGCTAATAAATTAAACAATCAAATATCCTGCATATTAAAAAAAGAAATAGACTCTCCTAAAAAACCTGCATCAAATTTAATTTTTATTAAAACCAGTAGTCGAATGTCAGACTGTAATCAGACATATAACAATTTGGATGAGGATGAAACTTTAGTTGATAATGATAGTATCGAGGATTTTTCTCTCAGCAGATCTCCAACTAAAAACATAAATGGTAAAATTGTGAACAATCATGATGTGGATGTTAAGTTTAGGATACAGTCATTAACAAATAAAACTAACCGGATTGAATTAATTATAAATCAAAAATCGCCAGATATCTTATGCCTTTTGGAGACCTGGTGTCATGATGATAATATCAATATATTTTGTTTTGATGGATACCATCAGGCCGCATTCTTTAATAGGACTGATAAGGATCATGGTGGTGTCTTGATACTTGTAAGAAAATCTTTGTTGTATGATATACCGCGATTTATTAGTGACAAAAGTGAAGAGTTAAATTTTGAATGTTGTTCAATTACGTTTAGTTTAAATGGACTTGGGTATTGTTTGTTAACTATTTATCGGGCCCCAACAGGTAATCTTGATACGTTTTTTAATAAGATGTATATGCTTCTTAATTATTGTTATAGTCATTTCAAATGTATCATAATTTGTGGAGATTTCAATATTGATTTTTTAAAAGATTCACGAGAAAAAGTTTTATTAGTTGATTTGATGGAGTGTTTTAACTTGCGTTGTTTAAATAGAGAACCAACTAGAATTTGTACTGACAAAAACGGTAAAACGTCGCGTACTAAAATTTTATTTTCTCACAAACTACCTTTCTACATATACGGAAACCGCGGTAGACCTCTGTATTGGAGATCACCTATCAATTGACGTGTCGTTAATAAAGGAAAAATGTTATGTAACTGATATCAATGAAAAAATACATTTTAGAGACTTATCAGAGGCGAATTTACTTAATCTGCAGCAAAAAATAAGTTCTGAAAATTTTGATTCTGTGTATGAATATTTTGATAACATAAATTTTGCCTATGAAACATTCTTAAATATTCTAAATTACTATATAGAAGTAAGTTGTCCGGTTGTCACAAGAGCTGTAAAGACAAATAAAATAAATAACTGGATAACTCCAGATATTTTGAGGATGGGAGCTGATATAAGGAATTTATTTTGGTTAGTAAAAAATTCTAATGATGTGAATATACATATTAGATACAAAGAAGCAAAGAGACAATATGTCAATAATATAAATGGAGCAAAAAGATCTCATTTTCAAAAGGGATTGCACAATAAAACGTTTCAGCAAAAACAAAAAATATACCTATATGGAAACAGGTAAATCAACAAGATGGTAAAACATCAAAAGGTTCTCAAATTAAACAAATTGAAGTAGGAGGACTGTCAATTATTGAACCAAAACAAATAGCTAAAATTTTTGCAGAGCATTTTGCCACCTCCTCAAAAAAAGCACTACAGTCTCATTTCAATGATTTGAATTTTAAAAATGTTACTGTGTCATGTGTCTCTCAGACCTTTTACTTCTCTCCTGTTGATCATCGTGATTTAATTGAAGTTATTCACTCATTAAAAAATGTTAACTCTATGGGCATTGACTGCATTTCCACAAAGATAATAAAACGTATTAGTCATCACATCTCTCAAATTCTAGCAGACTTAATCAGTCTATTCAGCTAGGTATTTTCCCAGATTATCTGAAAGTAGGATATGTAACTCCTATCTTTAAAAAAGGTGATAATAATTTAATTGATAATTATAGACCTATTACAGTGCCTACAATCTTAAGCAAAATCTTTGAAAAGTGTGTCCACAAAAATGCTAATATTTCTTAAAAAATATGAAATAATATGCAAAAATCAAAATGGATTCCTTCCAGAAAAATCTACTGAAAGTGCAGCAATAGATCTTTTTAATTTCATACATACTTCTATCGATCAAGTTGTTTGTGGGTGCGCTTTTCTTTGATTTATCAAAGGCGTTTAATTCAATCAACTTAGATGTCGCTATTCAAAAATTGGAAGGGCTTGGTTTTAGAGGTAACTTTTTGTCTTGGTTGTCATCTTATATAAATAACAAACAGATCTATGTCAAAGTCGGAAATTGTAAATCTGAACTAGAAAGTATATTGATATGGGTGTGCCTCAGGGATCAATTTTAGGACCTCTAATTTTTCTATGCTACATAAATGATATGCCTAATCATATTAACTCAGAAAACATAATTTTATATGCAGATGACACAACAATTGCCACCAACGCACAATCAGTAGATGAATTAATAAGTAAATTAAATGTTTTATCTAATGAGTTTACATCATGGTGTTATAGAAATTCTTTAATTGTTAATTCAAACAAAACCGTTTGCCTTCAGTTCTACTCCAGAAATCAAATTACCCAGAATTGTAAAATAAATGTCAATAGGGGGGGGTGGGTTGGCTCAGTGGTTAGAGTCATGACTCTGAGATCGGAAGGTCTCAGGATCGAATCCCACCGGTGGCAGGAATTTTTATTTAATTAAAAAAAATTAAATAATAATTCTAATGCATAGGTAGGATTCCCCACTCGACCATTCACTGTTGGGTTCTAATTAACAGTGCTGTTCCCAAAGTGGCGCTGGGAAACAGTAACAAAGCCTACACAGAACACGAGGCTAATGGCCGTAGTAGTCGACGCCGATGACACAAAAAAAAAATTCAATAATGCAGAAATTATGCTCTCAGATGTTACAAAATTTTTGGGCATACATTATAGGTCTTTTCCTTTGCATCGACAGTGTAGCACTGAGCTACGTCACTTCTGAAAATATTGTTCCATCCATACAATTTGTATAAATGGAACGATATTTTCAGAAGTGGTGTAGCTGTGCTACACTTTCGATGCAAAGGAAACGACCTATTGATAGCAATATGGGTTGGGATAGCCAAATATCTGTTTGTAAAAAATTCAACAGCTCATACCACAAAGCACGTATCTTCTAGAGACCCCACGCCAATGTTAAACTTTTAAACCAAATTAGCGCCACCTTGAGTTTGGAGCAGGAACTAAAATGACAATTGACAGATGGCGGTAAATTCAAATTATAATTTTTAGGAGTAGGTAGTAGTTTTAAATTAAATTTTAAATGATTTCCACATAAATTATTTTATAAAATAAAGTATGGAACTAGTAAGTTCAAAACTTTTATTTTACAAAATAATTTAGGTCGATTATACAAATTTGAGGAATTAATTTGTTATAAGGGGTCTGATGTGGAGAGTTGGTTTTGCATATTATTATTAAATAAATATAAGATATATCAATAAATAATAAAATAGAACATTCTTAATATATTTATTAATAACTTGAATAAATATTATTAGATAAAAATAAATACAAATAATACATATATTTAACGAATACTTACTTGGAGCAAATCTTTAAAATACCTATCAATAATTTAAATGTGAAGTAGAGACTAGGATATTACATTTTATTAACACTAAAGTAATATATTTTATAAATGTCTTTTTAACCGAGGACAAATGTAATATAGGAATTGTATTAAAAGGTGAATCCTTTTAACTATTCATTCAATGATAAATAGGTATTTTCCTTCCAAATACAGATGGTGGTATTACTCTCTTATGTGAAAAATGATTTCGGAATCCAGTCCAGTGATAAATTGATTATCAATTAGTTGTTGTACCCGTTTGTCTTTTTATGATGCATGGTGAATCAATGAAGTTTTTCTCAAAGTTTTCAACGTAGCACCAAAATTATTGCAAAACACAGTAGGAAATAGAAAAGCAAAACATCACAATTTTGCAAATAACTAAGACGAAACTATAAACAGAAACCAAAAGCCAAAGGCAACAAAAAATCACTAAAATCAGACGGAAAAATGAGACTACCCAAAAACATAAATAAATACACGTCATATATTTGGATTCTTTGGTTAAGTTTTTCTCCCATAAAGCTTAAAAATGGAGTAAGAAATCATAATTTCACCAGTAGCCCCATCTAGAGTTTGGAGCAAATAGCATAAAAAATGTCAGTTGTCGGTTTTGACCTTGGTCATTCACGTGGAACCTCTGTGTGCTTTGTGGCTCATACTATGCAATACTAAAATTAAAATCAATATTTACCCAAGAGCAACTGCTTAATGTCTACTATGCTTTAGCATATTCTCATATATCACACAACATTATTCTTTGGGGTGATGCAGTCAATGCATCTAAAGTATTTATCTTACAGAAAAGAATAATCCGGCTTATTTTTAATGTAGAATTAATGCAAACTTGTAAATATAACTTCAAAAAATTTAAAATATTAACATTTCCCTGTATTTACATTTATAAAACGTTGGTATACACAATGCAACATACACCAATTTTTACAAAATTCAAATTACCATGAACTCAACTAGGAATGCAAATTTATTCAGAACACCAAGACATTCAACAGCATTATTTGAGAAATAGCCTGAATTTGTTGGAATTAAATTTTTTAATCAACTCCCCAATTTCATTAAATCTGAAAAGAAATATGAACCTTTTAAAAGAAAACTTAAAAACTATTTAGTAGATTCATGTTTTTATAATTTATCTGAATACCACCATATTTTAAGGTAAATGTTTTTCTAATTGTATATTTTTAATGTGCATGTCTTATATATATATCTATATATTTTTTTTATACTGTACCTATATTTATTTGTATTTTAATATTTTTTATTCATATATATTATGACTTATCCTATATCATGTAACATGATCCTAAAGGACAAATAAACTATTATTATTATTAATGATAGTGACAATTTAAAAAAAAACTATTTATTTATTTTTCACTTTTTAGTTTTTTTTTGTTCGCAGAATGTGTTTTTTTAATATAAAAAATTTCTATTTTTTTAAGTATTGCTTGTATTTTTTTTAAACATTATAAATAATAATTTTCAACATACAAAACTAAAAACCTGAAAAAAACCTAAAAAACTGTTATATTTTTAAATTCTTAGATTTTTTCAATCCTGGTAAGAAAAAGTATACAAATATAACAACCAACTGTGGAATAGAGAGGTCTCTGATCCTAGGACCAGGGCCCTTAGCGAATGTGGGGGCCATGAACTTCATCATCCAGCAGTAAACCTATTATGAGTTTGAATTTATAAATACATTCTTAATGAATAGAAAAGTTGATCGAGCTAAAATTACCTAGGCTTATACAATTTCCAATGCTTCCGTCCTTCCAACTGAATGACAAAAGCTTCTATATCATCATAATGAGGAGCAAAACCCTGACTGCCAGGTGGTGTCAAATATATATTAGCACCAACCATTGTTCCAAAATACTCTTGAAGAGTTGACAGTAGTATATGAACTTTTTGATCATATGTATGAGGATTAAGAACTCTAATACTACAACCATTTGAGTAATAATCATATAAACCAGAAGCTACCACCCTGCCTTCTTCATTATGTACTTCCTTTACTCCATTTTCATATGACACCACATCTACGTTTTTTGTATAGTACAAAGGAAATTCTCTGAAAATACTATCTAACCTTTCTGTAGTTAGAATATCACTGTAATATGAACTTGAGTTTCTTTGCACAAGAACAGGTTCTTTTTCCCAGTATTTGTCAAAAAAGGCACTAGGTTTTAAAGGTGATATTAACCATTTAAACAATTTTAAGCCTTCAGGAGATGGGTCAGTTTTATTCAATTCAGAAATGCATTTTGCAATGCTAGAATTATTTTCGGAACCATAGTCCGTTGTATCTATTGGAATTAATGTTGGCACTTCTTCACTATCATTTTCACCATTTAAAATATTATATTCCATTTCATTTGTTCCATTGAATGACGGTTTTTGTCTTTTCAATTTGGTTTTAGCTTTGTTTTTAATACTTTCAGCATTTTCTAGTAATTTCTTCTTATTCTCCGTTTTCTCAATGCTAATCGGTGTTGAAAGAGTGTTAAAAGTTGTACCATGTGATATCTTTTCTTTTTTTGCCCCTTCAATTTTTTGCTCTTTATTTTTATTTTTTTTATTAACAACAACTTTATCTTTAGCAACAGAAATTTTATCTGGATTATTCACATTTACAAGTGTTTTCTTCGGTTTCTTTGATGGAGGATCTGGTACAGAATCCCTATGTGTTTGCTTGTTTTTCCTTTTCTTTTTAGTGTTAGTTTTGTATACAGAAAATGCCGAAACCGGTGAATTATTGCTTAAGAACATTGTAATAATAATATTTCTTTAGACACTTAATAATACAATAATGTAATAAAGAACAACGAACAACACGTTTTTCGGCTTCGTTCTTCTTTCGATATTTATAATCGCGATAAAATGTAAGGTTAAAACAATAATATGAAAGACGGGTTCGAATATTTAATTCAAGAACAGGTAAAATCACAAAGCACATAGAGGTTCCACGTGAATGACCAAGGTCAAAACCGACAACTGACATTTTTTATGCTATTTGCTCCAAACTCTAGATGGGGCTACTGGTGAAATTATGATTTCTTACTCCATTTTTAAGCCTTATGGGAGAAAAACTTAACCAAAGACTCCAAAGATGTGACGTGTATTTATTTATGTTCTTGGTTAGTTTCATTTTTCCGTCTGATTTTAGTGATTTTTTGTTGGCTTTGGCTTTTGGTTTCTGTTTATAGTTTCGTCTTAGTTATTTGCAAAATTGTGATGTTTCGCTTTTTTATTTCCTACTGTGTTTTGCAATAATTTTGGTGCTACGTTGAAAACTTCGAGAAAAACTTCATTGATTCACCATATATTCACCATGCATCTGCATCATAAAAAGACAAACGGGGACAACAACTAATTGATAATCAATTTATCACTGGACTAGATTCCGAAATCATTTTTCACATAAGAGAGTAATACCACCATCTGTATTTGGAAGGAAAATACCTATTTATCATTGAATGAATAGTTAAAAGGATTCACCTTTTAATACAATACCTATATTACATTTGTCCTCAGTTAAAAGACATTTATAAAATATATAACTTTAGTGTTAATAAAATGTAATATCCTAGTCTCTACTTCACATTTAAATTATTGATAGGTATTTTAAAGATTTGAGATTATACATCTATTTGCTCCAAGTAAGTATTCGTTAAATATGTATTATTATTTGTATTTATTTTTATCTAATAATATTTAAGTTATTAATAAACATATTTTAAAAATGTTCTATTTTATTATTTATAGATATATCTTATATTTATTTAATAAAAATATGCAGAACCAACTCTCCACATTAGACCCCTTATAACAAATTAATTCTTCAAATTTGGTATAATCGACCTAAATTATTTTGTAAAACAAAAGTTTCGAACTTACTAGTTCCATACTTTATTTTATAAAATAATTTATGTGGAAATCATTTAAAATTTAATTTAAAACTACTACCTACTCCTAAAAATTACAATTTGAATTTACCGCCATCTGTCAATTGCCATTTTAGTTCCAGCTCCAAACAGAAGGTGGCGCTAATTTGGTTTAAAAGTTTAACATTGGCGTGGGGTCTCTAGAAGATACATGCTTTGTGGGTAAAATTGCTGAACAAGTCAGAGCAGTTCGGTTTTTACCCGAGAACATGTTCATAATAAAGTGGAGTTCTTTGTTATGAGAGTCGGACTTCGGTTAAGACGTCCTTGAACTAAGAGATGGGTAGTAACAAATCCGTAAATGTAATTAACAGTTACATATTTGCTAATATCCATATCTAAATTCCAGTGTAAGCAGGGCCGACAAGAGGGGGCCCGGCAGCTCTGGTGAGGACGTTTGGACCGTGCGAAAGGGAGGACCTTTTTTTTAGAGATTTCACCAAAGAAGATGAGAAGTTTTTGCTTGAAGACCTTTTTTTTTAGAGATTTCACTAAAGAGGACGACGGGGCCGACCTGGAAAATTGTCTCAATGCCCGACCTGGCTCTTGACAGCCCTGAGTGTAACACCAGAACAATGAACTGGAGTGGGGTAAAAAGCTAATGTGCATATTGTATCAATTGAACAAGACGCGACTCTATGGGCGCAGCCATTTTTATTTCTCATCTCACTCGGGAGTATTTATAATAACCATTTTCTGTTTCACATTGTTATTGTTCAATCCACAGGCTGGTGGATCAGACAATAACAAAGTGAAATAGGAAATGGTCATTATAAATACTCCCGAGTGAGATGAGAAAATAACCTGTCTTCGCCCATAGAGTCGCATCTCAAGCCTATTGACAAGCATTCTACCCCACTCCAGTTCATTGCACCAGAACCACCTGGAACGTTAGCTGGGTTCTGTTTATAAATTCGGACCTTAGGTCCGTATTTATAAACAGAACTTACCCTGAGTCGGACTTGGGCCCAGTATAAAGAACAATAAATGAAAAACTAAAATAATAAAAATGTCTCAAAATATGCACTGCAAACAAACAAAAATAATGACATATTTACATCGCATTGACGTTTCTGTCGCTTATTTTCGGACATGCGCAGAAAAATATGAACCCCTCATAAAAAATGATCTGTCGCTTAGGCGAGTTCGGTCAGTCAGGGGCTGGAGCGGGACAAATTTTAGGGTGCTTTTAAATGACATTTAAGCGTGTAAAACTGTCACTAATCGGACTAAACCGAACGCTAAAAGAGTCGTTTGGAGTTAAAAGTGTTAAAGGAGTTAAAGGAACGTGGCAAACCGAACGCAATGCTTGTAGGCGAGTTCGGTCAGTCAGGGGCTGGAGCGGGACAAATTTTAGGGTGCTTTTAAATGACATTTAAGCGTGTTAAACTGTCACTAATCGGACTAAACCGAACGCTAAAAGAGTCGTTTGGAGTTAAAAGTGTTAAAGGAGTTAAAGGAACGTGGCAAACCGAACGCAATGATTATTGGTCTTTATACTGGGACTGGTAAGTCGTCCTTGAACTAAAATCGAAGTTCGGTTAAAACGTCTCTAAAATTCTATGTGGTTCCGGGGTTACACTTGAATTTAGAGATGGATATTAGCAATTATGTATCTGATAAGTACATTTACGGATTTGTTACTATCCATCTCTAAATTCACGCGATATAACCGAACTTCGATTTTCGTTCAAGGACGACTTACCCAAGTGCACGGTGTCCCAAGTCCGACTCAGCCGAGTTTTGTTTATAAATACGGGCCCAAAAGAGTTCTAGTTCCCATGAGTTCAGTGGTTCTTTGTTCTTTCCACAAAGCATGTGGTTCTTTCTGTGTTGCAAGAGGCGAGTTCGGATAGTCAGGGGCTGGAGCGGGACAAAAGCGGGACAAAAGCGGAGTTTTTAAGGGTGCTTTTAAATGACATTTAAGAGCATTTAAGCGTCTTAAACTGTCACTAATCGGACTAAACCAGACTAAAGCGAACGCTAAAAGGGTCGTTTGGAGTAAAAAGTGTTAAATGAGTTAAAAGAACGTGGCAGACCGAACGCAATGATAGTTGCAAGAGACAAGACAAAAGGTTCTTTCGTTCGTCCCACTGGTGTAGTTGGGTGTAGTAATGAACTACACTAACCCACACCCATACCTTTCGTTTGGCCCGGTGTAAAACCCACTATACCTTCCTGTCGTCGATGTGGTGTACACTGGTGGATATTTTCTCCACCAGCTCTTTAGCAGAAGTGAATTACACTCGACATATGTATAAGGAATAAGGAGGAAGTAAATTAGGGTAAATAAGGTGGTGTAACTGGTGTAATTTACACTGGTTGACACTACACCAACAGCGAACGAAAGAACCTAAGTTCTGAAGACAAGTGTTCTGTGGACAAGACAAAAATTTAAGGTTATGAACTACATGTTGCAATTTTTTGTTTTCGTATTTTTGTAATTTGTAAGCATAATGTCAGACGGTATGTATTTTTTATTTTTCTACACCTAGTTCTTCTATTTAATTTTAATTTTGTAGAGGAAGTTATCAAAAGAAGGTTAATATTTGATGGGGATGGAACAGGAGATGATAGGCGTTTCAATTTGATGCTAAAAATGATAACAAAATTTATAAACGCTGGAGAAGAAACTCCTGAAGACGCCCAACAACGTTATGATAAAATATTGGCACAACTTAGCATGATTGAACACGCGAGAAGACGTTCTGAATTAGTCACAAAATCCAATGATGAACAGTTACTAAAATATCAGAAGCTATATGGCGACTATGAAGACAAAATTCATGATATTAAAAAGGAAATTGCAAAACAGAGAATTGAGTTAGAAAAGGCTAAAACTATAAAACAAAACAGGTAGGTACTATTTTATTACTGTAAGGAAAGTTAAACATTTTTACCTACCAGAATATTAAATTTGATGTAAAAAAGTTATAGTTACAATATTGACATCCTCATTGAACTTTTATACACATGAATCTCATTAAAGGCTGTATGTCACGATACTAAATTAAGTACTAAATTTAGCACTAAATTAAGTTATTAATTTAGTACTAAATTTAGAACTAAAAATTTTTTTTTCCGTTTGCAACGATACCAATTTTTAGTACTAAATTTACTATAGGCGCACGCGCATTGACGTATTAATACGTAAAATTAACAGAGAAATGAAATATTATGTGTAAAACAGACAAGTAAATGGTGTTTTTATTATCAATTTGACACTAGTTGACTTGACAACAACCAAATACAGCATAAAAACCACGAAAAAAACACAATAAAACCTACAAAATCAAACAAGCGAACTTTATTCAAGGCGATAATGTAAAATTGTCACTAATTAAAAATAAAAGGGTACAGAAAATACTGTCGTGTCAACTTTTTCTATGAAAAACTTCTGCGCAACATTTCGGCGCACTTTTAGTACTTAATTAATGACTTTTTTTAGCACTAAATTTAGTACTAAATTTGCTGTTTGCAACGTGAATTTTTTTAGTACTTAAAAAATGCATTAATTTAGTTCTAAATTTAGTACTTAATTTAGTATCGTGACATACAGCCTTTAGTTTCAAATAACTACTTTTACAATTATTTTATTAAAATAAATTAGTGGCACAACCTTGTTCTTCAATTCTAGGCCCTTCATTATTTTTAATATACACCAATGATTTCTCCTTGTATATGAATTCAAATAACGCCAAATTACTATCATTTACACAGATGATACCAATTTCTCCCATCACTGCAACAACACATCTTACATAGCTAACAAAAAACCAAGATTATGACTGAAGCTAAATAATGGCTTGTTGGTATAGAATTAATTTTAAATCACAACAAAACTGAAATATGAGTCATTAGTTCAAACCAAACAACTAGTGAAAAAATGAACATCAAATAAAGAAATTTAATAAATATGCATACAATTTATAAATGCTGTTGACCAGCTTTTGAATACATTACAGAATATAAAATATGAAATAAAAAATTATATAAAATAATAAGATAAAAATATACAGACAGAAATATAAAATATTTAAAAGAAAGAAGATTGATCAGAGGTGTGTTCATGACATACTTTGTTGGATATGGTTTAGTAACATTTTTCTAAATCTTCTAACGTTATAATTGACTAAACAAAAAATTATGGCTGAGCAATGATCCAAAATATATTTTTTGGTCTTTTTAAAGTCAGGTGTTTTGTTGTCAAATGACTATGAGAACAAAAAGATCAAAAAAACACATTAAGCACGAGATTGCTAATACTCTTTATACCAACAATTAAGTACACTACTAGTGATAAAACAAATAAAAAAATCCTTAAATAGCAAGACAACTAAATATAGTTTTTAGGTATTTAAAAATGCGCGGTTCCGCTGATAAACATTACTTTTTCAAAATAAGAAAAACCAATATTTAGCAGGAAAATCCAGGTACGATTTTTAGCATGAATGATTCAATACATTATTATAGTTCAAAAAATAATAAATCATTACATAGCAAGACCTCCAAATACATTTGTTAGGTTTTTTAAAAAGCGCGGTTCTGTGGATAGACCTTACTTTATAAAAAGTACAAAAACCAATAAGTATTTAGCACGAAAATTCAGGTATACTTTTTAGGACAAATGATTCAGTACATTGGTATCATTCAAAAACACGATAAATCATTACATAGCAAGATCTCTAAATACGTTTTACGTTTTTTAAGTATTTAAAAATGCGCGGTTCCACTGATAAACATTACTCTTTCAAAATAAGAAAAACCAATATTTAGCACGAAACTCCAGGTATAATTTTTAGTAGGAATTATTCAATATGTACATTATTATAGTTCAAAAAAATAATAAATCATTACCTAGCAAGACCTGTAAATACGTTTTTTAGGTCTTTTTAAAAAGCGCGGTACCGCAGATAAACCTTACTTTATTAAAATGACAAAAACTAATATTTAGCATAAAAATTCAGGTATGTTTGACAAATGATTCAGTACCTTAGGGAGCGTTCAAGTATTACGTAACGCAATTTTTGGAGATTTTTAACCCCCCCCCTCCCCCCCATGTAACGCGCCGTAACGTTTTTGTGAAGGTAAAAAAAGGTCAAATGGTGACATGAAATTTAAAAAAAAAAAGAAAAGTTTTAAAAAATGCGTGAGAGAAACTCTCTACGCGACTTTTCTGAAGGATTAAAAAATAATAATGTTGCGTAACGCGTAGTTCAAACGCTCCTGTAACGTATCGTAACGTTTTACAAAAACCCCCCTCCCCCCCAAATTCGTTACGTAATACTTGAACGCTCCCTTATAGAAATATAATTTATTCATCTTTGAGAATTAAACACTATACAAAGATACTAGGTACATAATGTAAAATCCTATCAGACTAGTCAAAAAAGTGTTAAGTAAAATACATTAAAAAATAAAATAAAATATATTTATAATAGACAATTCATGTTAAGATTAGTTTAAAAGTTCAAAAAATCTTCTATACTATAAAATACATTATTTACAAGAAAATCATTAAGATGTTTTCTTAATAGTATGAGAGCCCACTGCAAATTTCGACCGTCATCTGATAACGAAATGAAATATGCTCCAAAGGCAGGTAACAACATTGTACTTTACCAAATTGCACCTGTGCCAATCCCTATCCTGAGCGAAGTGGTTAAAAAAAATTATTTTATATTCAAAAAATCACATAAAACATGACAGCGACAATTATGTTTTCCCTGAAAATTACAATCCTAATTCATAGTGAACCTAGCTTTTAAACCTGAATTATTAATATTTTTACCTACCTTTTAAATCATGTTTATGTATGAAAGGAAGAAGAATGGCATTGTATAAACCATTTGTAGAGATAGTCAATAATAATTATAAACTCTTGTTAGACAATTGTTTTAAACCATAATCATAGTAGTTTTTTTGTCGTTTCTATGGCAACCTGTAAAAATGAATCACAACAATAGGCATACAAATAAATTTTTAAATCAGCAAAACATTGATTCATATTTTTAATGATATTTACCTACTAATCGTGGATAGATGTTTTTGTGCGATGTTAAGAGGAAGAAAATATTTCCCTTTAACGATATATATCAAGATATATTTGAATGTTATTTTCTGGAAAACTTTAAGAGCAAACAAAATTAGCGCTGTCATGCCTTATGTGATTTTTTTAATATAAAATAATTTTTTTAAGCCACTTTGCTCAGGATTGGGATAGGCACAGGTGCCATTTGGTAAAGTACAATGTTTTTCCATGCTTTTGGTGTATATTTCATTTCGTTATCAGATGACGGTAAAAATTTGCAGTGGGCTCTTGGGCTATAAATCATTACGACTAATTTGATGATAACCTGTAGTATCTTCTAATATGTTACTGAACTTATTGTAACACTTAATCCCAATATATTTTGGTGAATGCTGGTTTATTTGTAGTCGTGAAAAAGCTTGATGGATGTTAAATTTTAATCTAGTATCATGTGAGTGCAGGTCTTTATTTTTCTTAAATATATGCTCATTATCTTTTATGTATAAAATTAGTTGAAAAATAAAAAGGGAAGGTAGTATTAAAATTTGCGTTGTCTTGAAACGTTCTTTACATGATGTTGTTGGTGTCACCTTATACATGGCTCTCAGAACCTTCTTTTGAGATACAAAAGCTCTTTCAAAGTATGGTGAAGAACCCCAAAATATTAACCCATATTGTAGAGTTGAAAGAACCAAACCAAAATAGCATAGTTTTAAAGTATCAAAAGATAGTGTCTCGCTTAAATTTTTAATGATATGACAACAAGTACTTAATTTTGAAGTTACTATTTTTATATGAGCTTCCCAATTTAATTTGGGATCTAATATTATTCCTAAAAATTTTATGTCATCAACGCTTTGAATAGTTTTTCCGTCAACGTGCAAGTAGATTCGTAATCAGGTAATATATTTTTGAGTAGAAATTGCATGAAGTTTGTTTTTGTTACATTTAATGCCAGATCGTTATCTTTACAATACTGGTTAAACTTACGAGATGCCTCTTGGCTACTTTGAGTGACCTGTTCAATTTTATCATCTGCCATTACAGTATTGGTATCATCGGCATATTGAACTATTTGTTGAGAGCTTAAACAAAAATTACTTATATCACTTATAAAAACTATAAAAAGAAGTGGGCCCAAAATTGAACCTTGGGGAACTCCTATTGTATATGGAAGAGGATCAGATTTTAGACTATTTGTTACAATTACTTGAGTTCGATTTATTAAGTAAGACTATATCCATTCATAAGGTTTCCCTCGTATTCCTAACCCATTCATCTTCAATAATAAAAGATTGATCCACCATATCAAATGCATATATAAACTCTAGGCAAGCTGCAATTGCAGTAGATGTTGACTTATTTTTTCTAAATCCATTTTGAGTATCTGGCAACATATTAAAACTTTCAAGGTAATTAGTGAGTTTAATAAAGTATGCTGACTCAAATATTTTAGTTATTTGTCTACATATACAGATTAAACGATAATTTTCTATATTAGATGCAGATCCCTTATTTTTATAAACAGGCATTCCTTTAGATTCCTTCATATTTGGGAATAATCCCGAAACAAAGGATTCATTAATCAAATGTGACAGAATTTTACCATTTATTTCGTCAATACCTTCAGTGGGTTTAAAAGTAGTTTTTTTGATTATAGTGATGATTTTACTAGGAGTTGTTGGAAAAAGAAAAAAACTTTTATGATGTTTATCAATACTCATAGTATAGTTAGGTACAATATTATTTTTATTTACATTAATAAAATAGTCATTGATATAATTTACTTTTTCTAAGGGTGTTAATTTGTCATCATTTGTAAGTTTAATAGGATTCAATAAATTGTTTTTTCTTTTTCCCCTACTCTCGTTTATTATATTCCAGGATTCTTTCATTACGTTATTACTTTTTAAAATATGATCAATATTTTTTCTTCTCAAATATTGTTTTGTTATTTTTTGATACTCTTTTTTTAAATTAATGTAACGTTCTCTATAATATGTAGAATTTATTTCTTTCTTTAACTTGTTCATTTCACATAATAGATTATGTAACTCTTTAATATGAGGTGGAAACTGATTTTTTCATTTTTATGGTTTTATCGCTTTCTTTGTTTTCGTAAATACAATATTGTAGTGGTATAGGAATGATTCATAAAAGATAGAAAGTTTATCATTAAAATTAGTAGATGTGTATACTTCACGCCAATTTTCAACTGATAAAATATTTATAAATGTTATTGCGTTAGGATCACTTAAATCTCGTTTATATCTGTATTTAAATTCGTTATTTTCAAAATTAGTTTAATTGAACATAATAAGTAGTTATGATCAGACAAAAAAGTATCATATACACCCACCTTATCTACATCAAAATTGGTAAAAAAATTATCTAAACAAGTTGAGGTTGTACTTTTTGTTCTCGTTGCAACATTTATATGATGTTTAATATTAAATTTCCTCAATAAGTCAATTAAAGCAGTTTTTTGATTACCTTCAATCAAAAAATCTATGTTAATATCACCTCAGATAAAATAGTGTTTGTCGTTTTGATAAATACTATGAATTAATAGCTCTAACTGATTTATAAAAGTGCTAAACTTAGTACAAGGTGGCTTATACACAGTAATAATAAATAAAAGAAGTATAGAATCGATCTTCATTTTTCCACCACATACTTCAAATTCACCTTCTATACACCACCTATGTAAATTAATGGATTAAAAATTTGAGGTAGCTTGTAAATTGTTAGAATCAAGCCAATGTTCAGTAACACATAGAATACTTACATTTTGTTTCTGTAAAATTAAATTTAGATCAAAGCATTTATTGGCAAAACCTCCCTGTATATTGATATGCATTAAAGTAATATTTAACTGTTGGGAACTGCAAATAGTAATTCATCATTTTCTTTTAGAAAGTGGTTTTCCATAGTAGTCCTTGAGGTCCATATTTTATCAGGTTTGAAGTAGAGGCTAGGTTTGAAAAATTTTCTTCACTCTTATGCGATCTCTGGTTTTTAGTATTATTATTATTCAAAAACACGATAAATCATTACATAGGAAGATCTATTCTAAAATAAAATATGTTGTCACTTTGGTAATATCAGATTAGAGTGACATTAAGATGTACAAAATTATGTTGCAACATACCTTTTTTGATAATTTTTTTGTTTATGCCAATTCACTTGACACTTGAAGTAGAGATAGTAGAGCAGGTTAATAGGTAAACCGTGTTACTTCTTGATCTACAATTGTATTTTCAGTTTATTGCAGATTGTAGTTTAATTTTTCTTTTAAAATTTTTTATATTTAAGTTTACTCCTTATACTATTATTCTACAGGTTACTTAAGTTTTTGCTATTTTTTTTAATTAATAAAGATTTTCTAATCTTAGAAGTTTTTGTTGTATTATTTGCATTAGGAGAATTTTGAGCATTTACAATGTTGAGAATTTTGAGTATTCACAGCGTTTTGAGAATTTTGAGCGTTTTCAGAAAAAACTACGAAAAGTAAATTTTTTAATACTTTACAACTTCCTAACCATAAATTCTAAGGTTTTTTTGTGTATGCTCGTTTATTCTCATTTATCTTACAAAAATCTATTCTATTCTAAACAACTGGTAGCTATAAAAATAATTTGAGTAATTTCGTTCAAACAATCATACATACGATACCAGAAGGAAAACTAAACTAATCCAAACAAGAACTAGAATAAACAATTCCCAAACAATAGGTATTTCTTTCTATAATGAACTTTCACCCCACATTCTGTAATCTACCAATGAATAAATTTAAACAGCGAATTAAAAATATGTTACTGAACATGTGTCAATTTAACATTAACGATTATTTTGTGAAACATGTCACCTAATATTTTTAATATTTGTCGTATTTTTTTTTTACTTTACCAACCCTTATTATGATCTTTTAAAATCCTATTTTATTTTAAATTTTATATGTTTAATGTATGTAAAATGTGATGTATTTTACCAGTATTCTGTGTGGACGTAACTATTTAAGGGTTTAAGTACTTACGACTATGTAAACATTTTCATATATGTACTCCTGAAAATAAATCTTTAAACCACACTTATACCCACAATTATAACTTGCTCAAATAAAACAATTTTCCCTTTTAAAAAATTCAGTTACAACATTGTTGGGGGATTTTTGATGTTTTTTTTTTTAATTCTGTGTATTTTATATCCAATATTATATTATTGTTTCACTTTTCAGGATAGAGTATGATCTGTTAGCAAAACAAATATCTGGAGAACCTGCCAGAACAGAAATGAATAGAAAATTGATCTCATTGCAAAAGCAACTGAAAGACTTAGGAGATGAAAAGAGGCGTTTGGTTCAGAAATTGGCTAAAAGAAAAAAACAATTCCACGTTTTATCCACTTCTGCTAACCAGTTACAGGTTTATCTGGATGAAGATGACCAAACAATAGATATTAATTCTTCTTTAGATGATGTAAATACCAATAGTCCTGAACCAATGTCTGAATAGATAAATTTAGTATTAGTTGAGTATTATATTTGGTGGCAAATACTTATTAGTTAGTCTAAAGTACATAATTACAAATAATGCATTTTATATTAAAATGAAATAATTATTATACATTTTCTAAATTACATATTTTGTCTTTATTCGATTTTTATAAACCATTGAAGGGTCAAAGAAATTTTTCATTAATATTATTTCAAAATAGTTGATAAGGTTAAAATTAGTGCTTATTTGTAAATTTATATATTTTTTATTTACATAAAATATATGTGTCAATTTTGTAATAATAGCAATTTACTGTATTAGTTTTTGTTTAAATATACTTCTACAAAAAATATGTTTTATTGTCCGTTTCAAAGCAAGTATAAGCAATAATGAAATATATACCTATTACATTGTGAGTGTAAAAAATCACTTTTACACAAGTGTACAATATTTTTCCTGCGATCACAAAATAATTTCACCAAAAAAATGTAAAACCAGGATATCTGGCTCTGGAGGTTTAATCAAGATGTGGCTGGTTCTAGAATTGTTTTTATATGCATTCTTGAATAATTTTCAAGGTATTTTACGAACGGTGTTTTGTAGAAATTAAAAACATTGTGTTTCCATTTACAAACACTTTCATAGGACGATAAAGGTATATTAATATTATTAAGTACAAAAAAAAATAAAATATAATTATATTTATTATTAGTTTATTTTTTTAAATACAGTAAATAAGATAAACGAACAAAAACTTTTATTAGTGCATACTTACAATTTTTTTTCTGAAGTTTATAGTACAAAATAAATAGCGAAAAGTTAACGAATTGCCTAACTGTAGGGGTGATATTATGATAAAAAAATATAAAATAAACAATAAATAGTCCCATTTATTTTAACTTTCATATTTAAAAAAGAAATATATTTATCGAGATTGATCCAGCGTCGCAAAATTAAAAATTAATAAAGTTGAACACTCTGAACCATGAAGTCTTTTTAATAATAATAATACTCTCCCTAATTCACCCCCTTACGAGTGAATTTTAACCCTAAAAGCTGAGCTTGTGCGGGAAAAGGGACGGCTATTATTATTTGCCGTGGCGTTCCGGGGAGACTTAGAGATGATTGATGGTGTCATTTGACTTAAAGGTGAGGAAAACCTCACCCACCATCATCGAGACGGTAATGTATGGCGATTTTATAATCTGCATGTCATATCAACAGAAATTGAATTTCTATTAATACGGCACATATCAAATCCTAAACCGAACCATGCAATTTAATTAAAAATCCACATGGTCTGGTCTGGGATTCGAAGCTCAGCAGTCTCTGACTCATAAACTTGCCTATAAATGAATATAAGCGCGTTAGACCGCTACACTACCGACCCGACAATATTTAGGCATTCCATACAAATGAAACGCGGTGCTAAGATTTGGTATGTTTAAAGGGTTGCGACATACGATGTAGTCTATCTGCATTATATGAAATCATAAATAATGGATGAAATTTAAATATTTTATGTTGAACACAATGAAAATATTATTTTTTAAAAAACCGCTTATACATTTTCTATAAATTGGCAGGCTCGGCGACTATTGTTTCAAATAAAAATAGCGTCCAAGATGGAAGGCTATGTCGCAACCCCTTTAAATTTACTTACCCTTCCCGCTGTCAGCTATTGTTTGACAGGTCGTTGGAATGCCTAATTGTCTATAATAAACATTTAATTTGCAATAACAAATATTGAGGTCAATAATTGAGATAAAAACTTTATCTTTTAAATTGGACCAAATTATATACAGATAGTTACCAAATTTTAACAAAATCCGTTCAGTAGTTTCGGAGTTTATCGCGAACATACATCGTGACACGACATTTTTATATACAGGGTGTCCCGAAATTAGACGGTCATATTTTAACAGCGTATAATCTACATCCCAAAATAAGAATAAATGTTCATATAAACATAGGTCCGAAAACGTTTCATTTTCGAGATACAGGGTGTTACAAGTGAAGTCCTGATGGCACATTTTTGTAAATATTTTCTAAAATTTAGTCACCGGTTTTCCAAAGTAAAAAAAAAAATAAAATTTTTGATTTCACAGGCCTACTAATTATTGTTTACACTTTCGAATAACTTATCATAAAATTTTCAAATGCTTTTTTCTAGAATATGGTGCGTCCTAGCGAGATGCAACAGAAGTAGCTTTATTATAAAGAAAACATTGGTTTTCCAAATTTTATAGTCAAAAATGTTAAAAACTGTCAACAAAAAAAACTTAGGGCAATTTTACCCTAAGCCCCCCCCCCTAATTTACCCACTTATGAAGATGATCAAAATCTGGGGTTTATTCCGTTAAATAGAGCGTGAAAAGGTAAGCATTTGTACCAAATTTCACTTAGTTATCTTTAAACGTTTAGAAAATATTTAAAAAAGAGTGTCATCAGGACTTTACTTTTAACACCCTGTATCTCGGAAAAGAAACGTTTTCAGACCTATGTTTATATAAACTTTTACTCCTATTTTAGGATGTAGATTATGCTGTTAAAATATGACCGTCTAATTTCGGGACACCCTGTATATAGATGTTACGGGTACTGTTGTAAATTGGACATTGACGATTGACTGGATAGTACCCAGATAGCACACCAAATCCTTTGGATATATACTGAACATCCCAATATACACTGAATGTCCAGTCCATGGTAGATATATATATTTTATATCCATGAGATGTAATTTATAGACATGCAAATGTCCATAAATAATAGTAATTATATAGCAAATTATTAAAAAATTACGCCATTGTGGCTAATAGTACCGTTCAGATATTTAAAATTAATTTTTTAAGGCGTATTCAATATCCCATGAACATCCACTAAATATATCAAAGTCTATGCGCGAAGGCAAACCATCGTGGATATCCACTAGATGTTATTTGACTCTGCTTACTAAGTATAGATGGCGATACCACTATCGCATCTACGCATGCTCGACCCGCCGTAATAGAGTTCGATCGAAATTTTTGTCCTACAGACTCCATTAGGGACTGGAGTCGAGAATTTCCATTTATTGCTGAAGAGTCCTAATAAGGATGGCTTTCTCCTTAGTGGGCAAAATCAAAGGCAGAGTGTTGAAAATATTTTTTATCTCTGCTATTTTCTTTCGACGTTATTCAATAATCATTGGTTACTTATGAACCTCTACCACAGTTTATAGCTTAAAAGAATCAGTTCGCTCACTCTGCGTCGGCACTTTTGATCTCAATGTTCCAGTTTTTACACTGCGCAACTCAGATTTGTATCCCTGGCACATACAGAATCAATTCATAACCAGTACAATGTATGACAACCGCCTATATTCAAACAGCATTCTTCTGCGCATCCCGAATTTGTATCCCTGGAGTGGATATTATTTTGGAACATCCAATTGGTCCGAGTGAGCGAACTGATTCTTTTAAGCTATAAACTGTGCCTCTACTAAAGATACCCATAAAATATTTTGTTGAACAACCGAATATCTTCTATATCCTGGGATATAGACGGACATTTGGTTGGATATCCATATTGGATATATTGAATATCCACAAAATATATTCTGTGGATATATCTGGGATTTCTTGTATTTTCTGAAAGACACCCATTAGACTTTGATTTTCTTTTACTATACGAAGAATGGTCGCACTGCGCAGCTTTCTGAGTGCCTTTTAAAAGGAGATAGAAAACTCCGCCATTTTGAACCCTTATTACGTGTTGCCTACATCTTGGCGCAATATTTTTAATAGGTGCGTTTTAATCATCTGCTTCTACTTCGGAATTGTCGGTTTTCTTGTTTTAATCCGACAGGTTAAAACGACTAAACCGACAATTCCGGAAGCAGAAGCGGATGATTAAAACGCACCTGATATTTTGCTTGCTGCTGTCAGTGTCAGTGAATATTATTTTTGAAGTCACAGTTTATTGCTAAAGAATCAGTTAGCTCACTCGGACCAGTTGAAAGTTTCAAAATAACATCCACTCCAGGGATACAAATTCAGGATATGCAGAAGACTGCTGTTTTATTGTAGGCGGTTCTCATATATTGTATTATCCGAGTTGCACAGTGTATAAACTGAAACATTGAGATCAAAAGTGCCGACGCACAGTGAGCGATCTGATTCTTTAGCTGTAAACTGTGTCACAGGGTTCAAAATGGCCGCGCCCTATGTTGGGCGTGTCGGACCTCTCTCTTGCCTCGTATAGTAATAAAAGTATGTGCATTAGATATTTTGCTGGATATCCATTAGGATATCTTCTATATTCTGTATATAGACGGACATTTGGATATCCATATTAGATCCACGGAATATTTCTGATATCCTATAGATATATTGGATATCCACAAAAGATATTCTGTGGATATCTCTGGGATTTGGTGTGTTGTGTCTGGGTAACGTCAGCAGCCATTAATCGTGGACAATGTTGATAATATTTCTTTTTTGCATCTTTGTCCGGCCATTAACGACATCGACCATCAATGAGTGGACAATGTTGATAATATAGTATTTTTTGCAATTTTGTCTGACCATTAATGACATTGACTATCAGTAAGTGGGTGAAGTTGATTTTAAAGAATTAAGTTGGTACTGTGACTTAAAATTTTCATTTTCAAGGCTTTACCAGTAAGCTACTGTAAAATGAACATGAAAACATTATAATTTTATAACTATTAATCAGTTTTATTACTATTGGAGAACGACATTTGGAATTACAAATTTTTTTGTTGACGCGACAAGCGCATTTATTGTTTTTGCACCCACCCTTACAGTGACAACGCTTATATCCTTGTTTTCCAAAAACAGTGTTTTGTGTTGCAGCTTCTCTAAGTGAAATTTATTTTCCTTTAACGGCGTCACTAAGGTTTTCCAATAATATAAGCTTCTCCAAACGGATTGAATTCAGATCTTGTAAATTTTTGCTTGAGAGTCCCATTGCTTTTGCCTAGAATAATCTTTGTTACTCAATATTTTATAAGGTAAGTATTTTATTAAAAAATACTTACAAAGTTTATAGAGGCCGTTTTCAGAACTGCTGACTACTGCTAATATATTACGAAGTGATCCACGGGCTCTATCGACATCAGGTATAGGTACTCGAATGGTAGTTTCAACCTGAATATCGAAAAATTTTTCATTTGATAATTTTGACATCTTTTCAGCCTGCTTCCCCAACAATTCTCTGGCTCAAGCCAGAAAATAGCGATGTAAACAAAAACATAACCCTGTATTTTATTCAAATCCAAATCGTTGCCGTTTGCGGCCATATATAAGTGGGCGCTAACGATAATGCCCCGACAGAGTCGTAAAAAGGCTATGTCATTTATAATTTATCAACATTGTCCAATTTAAGCGGATGTTTACGTTATTGGCCGGTTATTATCAATAATGCCCAATCAAAAAGGAGATTTACAATAATGACCGGCCAATATCGTTAAAGACCGAAATATCATCTTTAACCGTAACAAATATGCAAAGACAAAATAGTTCAGCACCATTTTCTCTTCTGTTTGTGAAGCGATTTTAATTTTTTAATTTTTGTTTAGTAGCTATTGAGCTTTAGTATTATCAATAAAAGAAAATGTGGAGATAGTATTTTTTTCTAACCTTTGATATATGAAATCCATTGATCCACAATTATGATTGACTAATAAAATTAGCCTATCGCGAACATGAGCACCCTTTAATTTTAAACCGACATGAACAATATTATATGGACGGACAGAGGATCACGAAAAACGAAAATAAAAATATTGCTCCCACCCCTCCCCCTTCTTCTCCCCCTCTTCCCCATCTTCTCTACTCTTCACCACATCTTGCTCTGCCATGCTTAAATAGTAAGAGATAGAAAAAACTGATAGTACGGCCTGCTTGAAACGATTTTAAACTGCCCCCTTCCCCCTATACAGGGTGATCTATTTGAAATAACAAAGTTCGTTATATTTACGGAAAAAAGGAAGAACTGATAACAACGTAACTAGAAATAATTGGAGCGTCCACACATTAGCCTCTTTATATTAATTTCTATCATAATAAAGATACAGATAGGAGTCATGTCCGTGATAACTCCGCACGACTTTAATTTAAATCCAAACTGACATTTAAAGAAGAAGTACGCTCAACATACGTGAATTTTTTCAAGGTCTACACCTTAGAAACACTTTTTGTGGATCGTGGATCACTCCTTATAAATACTATGTATTCAGTTTGTTACTGTGCTAAATTAAAAAAAAAAACTAGAAAAATTGCGATAATTCAATTCGAAAAATTTGAACATTAACAAAATTTACTTTATCAAAATGTGTATATATTATCAACTAATATAAGTTATATAAACAATTCCAATATCTTTATAACCTCGGCATATTTTATCAAATCAAAAATATTTTGTCAGCTTTGTTTGATAACAATTGATATTTAATATTTATTGGTGTATCAATGTTTAAAGGAATTTGTCGAGAGACACATAACGGAAATATGGTTACTAAAATTTTGAAAATACCTAAATTTTTTACGTGTATTAGAAACTTTAGTAGTGAAAATGTGTTAGTGGAAGTAAATAATAAAACAAACACGGCTATATTGAGATTGAGTAGACCACCTGTAAACGGTTTGAATTTAGAAGTTCTAAATGAGTTTGAAAGTTTATTGAGCCAGTTAGAACAGCAGAAAGTTAATGGAGTTATTATCACATCTAACAAAGAAGGTTTTGTAACATTCTATTTCTACTATTATCAATTTAAAAAAAAAATTTTTAAAGAAATGTTACTAATGAAACTGAATGCTGTGTAAACATTTTTAGGTATATTAACCGGAGGCATCGATATAGCCGAGTTGCAAACTATCGACCAAAGAAGATTAAAAAAATATTGGACGACTTTCAGAGACACATTCTTAAAACTTTACAATACACCCCTGTTGACAGTTGCCGTTATAAATGGTCATTCCCCAGCTGGTGGTTGTTTATTTTCCACAGCTTGTGACTACAGAGTGATGACAAGAAATTACAATATCGGAGGAAATGAAACTCAATTAGGTAAGTGGTTTGGTAAGCAAAGTAAAAATATTGACAGTGTCCGCATTGTTATAAGCCAAAAGTATATTGAAGTAACAAGAAAACGGAAAAGGAATATTTTGACTAGTATTATTTTCTTCTTCTCTAGCTTTTAGCTCATTTGTGGAGCAAAAGGTGTTGTTTGCGATTAATAGCTTCTTTAACATCGACGGTGTTAAAATATGCATTAATTTTATTTTAAGCAATATTTTGTTATCAGGTGATTTTAATAAAGTAACCAGTAACGCTTTACGACTTTACGTATTAACTACTATTAATTGATTGAGCCTTCTGTTATTTTGTTTGGTGTTAGATTTGTTTTTATTGATACAACTGAAAACATTTATTTTTTAAGATTTAGAAAGCGACCGCAACAGGCGACCGAAATGCGTTTCTTTACGTCTGATTCATGTGTAATTATATGAAGCACCTTTGGAGACAAGAGACCGCGACAGCACTTTCAACACCGGTCTCGGAGCAGTGTTTGCTGCCTTGAAGCGTAACGTAAGTGTATCGGTCGTCTGTCGCGGTCGCTTGCATGGGCCTCGCCTACCCAAATTTATAAAAAATTGGTAAGACCATGTCCTAGGTACAATTATTCATTGCTAAACACTATTTCATTCGCTTCAAAGTAGTATGGGTAAAGACCACAGCAGGGCCGGCACTAGACATTTTGGCGCTCCGGGCAAAACCTTAATTTTGCGCCCCCCCCCCCCCGTTTTTTAAGTAAATCTCATGCGACCATATCAGAAAGTCAAGAAAACATTGAAAAAAAAAATAAAAAAAACGTTTTATTAAAAACTCAATCATCAGATAACAAGATAAGAAATTTAGCACTTAAGGCAAAATAAAAATTAAAATGTAGTAATGCTAACTAAACTAATATCCCATATTATAAATAAATTCTAACTAACCAAAGTAATTAAAATGCCCTTTTCCTAACTTTTCTTTCGGCAAACTCACGAACCAGTTATTGCAAGTCTAATTTGTCACTAATTTGGTGTTCTATAGCTATCATTGCCAATCCATTGAGACGATTTTGCGTCTGAATTATTATTATTTTAGTTTTGAAAAGCTTCTTTCCCCTGAAGCCACAGTGACTGGCAATGTAAGTAGGATTCTTAATGCTATACTGAGGTTTGGTGCGAATTTAAGTGTAGCGATAAACTTGAAGAACTTCAACAGGGGTTTCCTTTTTTGTTAATAATGACGAAACAATGCTTATTTCACCGGCTAGTTCCAAGGCGTTAAGATCGCTTGAATTTCCATCAGTTAAAACTACTTCCAAATCTTTTGCAATGAGCCAGTAGCTCATTTCTGGGCATGTCTTTTAGACCAAAAATATTGTACAAAAAGCTGAAATAATTAGTGTGAGTATTTAGCAAATTATATCTGGTTTCCAAGGCATTTATTGCTTGATCTATAGTGTGAAAAGAAAATCTATTTTATATTTTTGTTTGAGGTCTTGAACGGGTTCATCCAGGCCCTCATACAAAACGTTCTTGTTTTGCTTCTGACACGATGACGTGGTGTGGTGGTTTCGAAATTAGCTTCCACGTAAATCTCTGAGGCAAGCTCGGTTGCTTCTAAAATGATGCTTTCAAAAGCTTCATCTGATCTCAGGTTTTCAAAGAAGAGTTTGCAGTTGCTAAGCATATCAATAGCTTGTGACATATTAAAATTTACAGTTTGCAAAAGTTTGCTGATGGGGTTAATAGGACTTAAAATTTTGTACCAGATCACAACAGAGCATATAAATTTGAACTGATTCAAATTATTTAATAATCCGCTAGCCTCGTCTCTGATCTTATTATCGATTTCTGAATCTTCATATATGCTGTACAAAGCATCGTAAATTGGACCAATTTGAAACCGCAGAGCTTTTAATGAGTCGACTCGACTTTCCCATCGCGTATCACTCAATGATTTTAGGGTGTAAGTATCAATATATTTCAGTAATATTGTCCAACGAAAAGAAGAGGAAGAAAAAACTGTATATAACTTTTGAATAATATTGAAGAAGTTGGCTGCCTCAAACGAGGATTTTGCCATATCGTTTACAACCAAATTTAGCGAATGGCTGCTGCATGGAACATAAACTGCTCTGGGGTTTATATTTCTGATTCTTGTTTGTACTCCCGATTTTTCTCCCCTCATATTGGAACCATTGTCATACCCTTGACCGCGCATGTTAAGTCTATTTTTCTCTAGCTCTTCTGGTAAAACCTCCGACAATTCCTTAGCTGTTGATCTCTAAATGGGTAGAAAACCCAAAAAATGTTCGTTGATTCCTGTATGGAGACAAATCTTAACACAAATGTCATCTGTTCTACTTTACTTGCATCGGGAGTACAGTCAAGAATCACGGAATAATACTTGTCCTTTTGAACTTGCTCAATGATGTGGTGCTTTATGTTGTCATGCAATAATTCAATTATTTTATTTTGTATAGTTTTCCCTAGATATGTAGCTTTGATTTCTTCATTATTGAGGACTCTGCGAACGTGTTCCTCCATTTTTGGATCAAACTCAGCCAATAACTGAATTAACTTCAAAAAGTTTCCATTATTGTGTTCATACAGTTTATCGCTTGTTCCTCGAAAAGCTAGAGAGCTCTCACCTAGCATTTTAACGACTGATATAATGCGTAGAAGAACTTCAGACCATTGATTTATCTCAGAATCAATGAGTCTTTGGGAAACTGCATCTATTATTTTACCTATTTTCAATCTTTGCTTCAATTCAAGCCATGATTTTAAACAATCTATATGAGTTTTAGCATTTTCATGATGTGCTAAAGAGTCCCCTAAATGCTTCCAGTCTTTAAATCTCCGATTGCCAAGAGCGCTCAAGCTAGATGGTGCAGCAAAAAGTCGACATGGAAAACAGTACAAAGTGTTTTGAAATACGAAATATACCATCCATTCTCTTAAAACCTCTTCTCCATTTCTAAGCCTTTTCTTGTAATGTTTTGGTGAGAATCTTCTATGCTGATCATCAAAAGGAAAATCAAAATTATACAAAGGTGCCGCTGGACCACGTTTAAATAAAAAAACTCTATCTGCTGCACGCATGATTTCGGGCCATAATCCTGGGTCAGAAGAGATACTTTGGACGGTAGCCTTTTCTAAATGTGTCTCTGAGGTCTGCGAATTTTGATTTTTGGAACTGCACGGAACTGCATCACTACTCGCCAAACTCGTTTGAGATGACTTACCCAGTTCAGTAATGCTGACGGTTGCGTCCAAAGGGGGGTCCATATCCGGAAAGTCAGTATCTAGGTGCTGGGCGTTGTTCAAAAGTTGGTCGGTTGTGGGAGCGTTGAAACTTCCTTCTTTCAAGAAGTTCTGCAGCGCATCTGATTGTTTTTGAAGCTGTGTTTGCTTGTTCAACCCCCGCTTTTTAAATTCGCTCCCAGAGGGTTTTCTCTTAGCATCGGACATTTTGGTTTCTGGAACAAATTAATTAAAATAAAAGATAATACTAATATCAAAAAAAGCCATGATTTGATTTAAATTATAATTTCTGAAATCCTCCATTGTTCGCCTCTGGCTTAAAAAAAATGTATTTTATTCAACTTCAGACTCAATTACCTTTCATTCGATACCACACCAGCCATGATTTAATTTAAACTCTAATTTTCGAAATCCCCCCTTAATCCTTCACTGACTTAAAAAAAATGTATTTCATTCAACTCCAGACTCGATTACCTTTCATTTGATACCACACAAGCCATTTTTTAATATAAACTCTAATTTTTGAAATCCCTTCGTGCGCCACTGGCTTAAAAAAATAAAATGCATTTTATTTAACTCCAGACTCAATTACCTTTCATTTAATATCACATAAGCCATTTTTTGATGTAAACTCTAATTTTTGAAATCCCCCCCTTGTGCGCCACTGGCTTAAAAAAATAAAATAAATTTTATTCAACTGCAGGTTCAATAACTTTCATTTGATACCACACAAGCCATTTTTTAATATAAACTCTAATTTTTGAAATCCCTCCTCGTGCGCCACTGGCTTAAAAAAATAAAATGCATTTTATTCAACTCCAGACTCAATTACCTTTCATTTGATACCACACAAGCCATGTTTTGATCTAAACTTTAATTTTTGAAATCTACCCTCCCACCCTTTTTTGGGCTTATGTCTGATGGATTTTTTTAGTTTTTAAAAATGAAAACAAAAATTAAAACACTTACCTTCACAGAAGCCAAACGCACTGGACAATTTGCACAAGCACTTTTTTAAAGCTTTTTTGCACTAACAATTTAGACAAACTATTTTATTTCACACCAGCCGAAGTCTATTGGCAAATAATGCATTGTTTTAAGTCTACTTCCTTTTTATATGCAGTTAAAAAGGGCTGTTAGATCTTGTTTCGCTTGGTTTCAAAATTGTTGTTTCCTGTACAGTCGTGTTGCCACGGGCCGAAAAACTTGTCGATTCTTGAAAGGCGGTGGTTGAGTGGTTTTGTCATGTTGAATTGAATTCAGCTAGATTTTGCCTTAATGTTTAAATATATTATATTATTTGAATTATGTGCCTAGCAATAAAAATTATAAATTCCGCCTGCCGCCTCTTAATCTTGTCAACTATCAGTCAAATCTTGCAACGCGTTTTTGAGAAAATTCCCGTGAACCGATTTCAATGAAATTTGGTATACTTAAAAGGGTCCGATGACAATGCAATATTATGAAAAATAATTTATTGATATGATAATAGTAATTTATGCAACAAGTGCATAAAGTGGTACTTTTTTTCACGAATGGAAAAGTTGACCGCATGAGCCGCCAGGCGAATGCGGCAATTCCATGAGTGAAAAAAAGACACTTTATGCATATGTTGCATACAATATTTTTTCTACAGCCCTATACAAATAATAAAATAAAAATAGATATTTGGAATATTTTAATTAAATTCCTTTAGTAAATTACAACTATAATAACGAATGCATAATGATTATTGAATTGGACAAATAATATTAAGAAAAATAACAAGTAAATTATGTATTTTTGTTTCTTTCATTTCGCAATGAGGATATTGAAAACACAATTGTTTGGTTGATTAATATGAATGTTTGATGCAGTCACGTTTGTTTCTGTCTGATTCATGGATAAAGCATCATTTAAATTGTGAATATTTGGAACAGTCAAATTTGTCTTTGCTTGATTTTCATATGATGTTGAAGGTTGGTTAAAACAACTGCTGTTGTTAGGTCCTTGTAAAATTCGTGAAGCACAGTTCATTTTTGAATTGAGAGAATTTTTCACATACCCTTCGGCTACAGCAGTAGATTTCCATCCTCCATGTTGCTTTAATTGAAGAATGTCTCCACCTGAATCAACTAGAATCGATGCCGAAGTACGTCGAAACGTATGACCTGTATATTCTTCTGGATGCGGTAAACTTAAATATTGTGCAATTAGCGATGGAATTTTCGAAAAAGTGTTTATACCAACTACTTGTTTCGTACATTTTTCATTTCTATATGATAGAAAGAAATGGTTGGTGGTTGCATTCTTCGGTCTCAGATTAGCATAATTTTGATAAAAATGTATTAAATTAATGTTTTTACTGGTTTCTCCAATTACCGTAAAACGCCGACTTGTATGCGTTTTTGAATCTGGAATCGTGATGAGTAGAAATTGTCCCTTATTTTCAATGTCATCAATTTTCATTTTATACAACTCTTCTCGTCGACAACCTCCAGCTATTCCCAGTATTAATGTAACCTACGAATTTTTAAAAAATAAAGTAAGTAAAAACAAATTAAATATTTTAAACTTTTACCTTAAACATTAAATATTTGTCGTCTGGAGCAATCAATAAAAACTTGTTAATCTCCTCCCTTGAAAATGTATTGGATTTCTTGGGTTTGTACCCAACCGATTTTCGTTTCAGAAATGCTATTAGTTTAGCATATTTATTTATGTCTACGTTATCATTAATAATTAAGGTTGCTTTTAGTTTAGAATAGCTGGACCATAATGTAGAAGACTTGAATTTTCTAGACTTTTCTTCAAAAAACGCTAATAGCACCCGCTCTGTAAAGCTATGAATATTATTCTGGTTCCGCCATTTCATAAAAGTGTCATATTCTTTTAAATAATTTTCTTTGGATTTCTCCGGCAGCAAATTTAGTGTGGCCACATTAGCTTTTTCTACGATTTCTTTCGGTGTACATACTTAGATAATATAATAGCAGATAGGCCACCACTGCATAAAGTTATACAATATTAATGTCGCTATCATATAATCAGTATCTATCTTTCTAATGAATGCTCTCTCACTCGTTTTAGAATTCTCAGCAGTAGCGTACCGTAAAACACTTTCGCTGGGTCATTTTAAATGCGAAAATGTTGACCAAGTAGAATATAAAATAAAATGTTTTAAAAGGTAGGTAGGTGCATTTTTAATGAAGTGAAAACAAAATATGACTTTTTTGTTATGAATATAATATTAATTACAATTACTTTTAACACCACAATACGAACAAATTTAAATTAAACACTGGAATAATTGTCTGAGAAAAGCTTTGTCAAACTGACAAATACAAACAAAGAGATAGAGATATTAATCTATTTCTCTCTAATTAGAATTCTCGACCACATTATCATGGCGACACAAACATTGTGTACTGTCCTCTCTTTACTACTTACTTACTCTGAGTGTACATATTTCAAATTCGGAATCTTCACTATCCATCACAATAAAAATATAAAGAACTACTAAATTAAATCACCTCGAATTATTGATACTATAATAATTAAATCTGTTAACGTCAAATCAGTTACAGTTCATGTGCTGTCAAAGGTGACTTGATATTTTTTTCCGGTAAAGGTGTGGACGAATTGCACTAATCACTGTATTAGCTTATGGAAAGCGTGAAATAAAGTTAACGCTATGGCACTTTATTTCACGCTTTTTTACTTTTTTTTCACTCTAACCATAAACAGCCGTTTTAAGCGTTAAAAAGCGGTGAAATACAAGGTACTTTAAAGGTAGGGCGTAGAAAAAAAATATTCTTTACTTTTTAGTGCATTTTATAAAAGCCTGTAACTTTATTTTTTTATCAGTTTATTTTCATTTTCCATGATTTTGGCGCCCCTAGATCATTGCGCTCCGGGCGGCCGCCCGGATCGCCCTACCCTGGGGCCGGCCCTGACCACAGTTGACCATCATTTTTCTCGAGAGCGGTGTTTTGCTTTATGTGAACAAAATATCCGATAAGATATCAAACTAAAATGAATATCTCAAAATAGAAATAATTTAATATTTAATTATTTAACTTCCCTGTGGATATTTTATTAAATTTTTTGCTTGTATAATTTATTATGTATGTTCAGTTAGGGAGTGTTTATTTTGTATCATTTTGGGAGCTTTTCTGGAAATCAATTTTCATATTTCATTATTTTTATTTTTGTTTGTTTCAGGATTAGTCGCTCCTATATGGTTTATGGATAGAGTTGCAGATCTCATAGGACATCGTCAAGCGGAATTGGCCTTCACCCAAGGCAAACTCTTTTCGACAGATGAGGCCCATAAACTAGGTTTAATAGATGAAATTGTTGAAAATACAGCTGAAGGCCTGAGCAAGGCTCAAATTATAATTAACTCTTTCGCTAATGTTCCGAAAAAAGCACGAGAAATCAGTAAGAGGTTCACCAGGCAGCAATTTTTGGATAAGATGATTAGAGATACTGACGATGATATTAGACACTTTGTTAATCATATTGGAAGTAACGAAACTCAAAAAATAATAGAACAATACATGCAAAAATTGAAAAGTAAGAGGTTCTAAAAGTCCCGACGGGATTACAAACAAGTAAAGTTAGATATTTTTATGGATTCTGTGAATTTTTAGTTGTATACATTTTTATATTTGAATTTATTTTGTCAGAAATATTCTAATAAAAAGACTGATGGCAATTGTGAGAAAATTATTTGCATCTTTTAAAAATATATACAAAGTGATTAGTGTGTCAAAGTTTAATAAATCTGAAAAGTTCGGATGTATATATTTCTGGTGTCTTTTAAGTAAGAAACTTCATTTTTCGGAAGTGATTTGATACACACGGGGACACAATATTGTATATAGGTACCTGCTTCAAATGATAAAACAGAAAAGTTTTAACATATTACATCGAAAACATATTTAGTTATATTAATATTATATACACAGTAAAATATGTCTAATATTTATAACCACCCAGGACTTAAAAAAGAAACTGAATTGCATAATATACGTTTTCTTTTACATTATAATAGTAATACTAATAATACTCCCACTAAACATAAAAACTTACAAACAATAACTTATTTCGATAAGTACCTACCTATGTGTAAAATTTATCATAATTTTGCAAATTTTAGTTTATGTTCGGGAATTTTTAGTATGTTCTTGAACGAACATTTAGATGTATTATTAAACTTTGAATGAAGGTAGGTACTTAAATCTATTTTTGTAACTTATGAAAATCAAATTATCCGAAAATGTATTTCAAAACTTTATACAGGTTCAATAACAAGTTTGGAAGATACAAATCAGAGGCAAAATGAGGTTTATATTCTTTGTCTTCTCAATATTTTAAAAAGAACGAAATTTTACACGCTTCCAATTCCACTTACAAAGAATCGGGAAGTCTGTGTGGCGCTATGATGGTAAGTTACGAATAGAGGTTGTTCGGGCGCCAGTTTTTGTAACACAGTTTGCTCTGCGACCTTGTAGCACACCAGAGTGTACTAAAGGTAAACTTAGTGGAGTAAAAATAAAATTCCAGGCGGTCACTGCTAAAGGTAGCCGCTAAATTAGGATTAAAGCACTTATCTTCCTTATACCTTGTACCCTATGGTACCCTGAAAGAAAACAGTCGAGAGCCGGTAATAAAAGAAATAACAAAATAATATTTCAAAAAAAAAATAACACCTTGGTCGGGTATTGGTTTCCCCGGTATACGGAGAACAAATTCTTAACAAAAGAACACTGTTCAGAGAGATCGGTTAAGTTACACAAGGAAATTAAACCATCAAACAATTAAACGGGAATTTATAATTCCCCCTGTATACACAAAATAAATTTTTACCTAAATTAAAATTGTACACCAACAGTATAATTAATTCCGCACTAAAAAAATAAATTGAAATAATTAACGGTTCAAAATAGCAGAAACAATTATTCTGTATGCAGAAAATAATTTTTACATAAACTAAAATTAATTTTCAAAACGAAACATGTTGAATTAAACAAACGGTTCAAAATTTAGGAAGCAAGTAGCTCCACCCTATATAAAGAAAATATATATTTTTTTAAATTAAAGTTAATTTTTAAAAACAAATAAACAAAAAATAAAATTATTAAAGACGCAGGGAAATGCTATCGAGGCGGACGTTTGTAAAATTTCCAGGATTAGAGGCCGCCCAGGTGATCCACAAGTGGCTCAATTAAGAAGTTTTACAACACTCGCGATTATTAAATTAACAAAAATTTGAAAGAAGGAAAATGATCGCGTCAATTTATTAAAAAAATGAATGATTTACTGGGCGGGGTTGCAAAGCTTTCCGGGTTAGAACCTATCCAGGTGATCCGCGAATGGCTTAACCAGGAGAGCTTTGACAACGCTAAAATGCGATAATTTGACTAATAATAAAAAAATTAAATATTCAACTAGGGGAAGAGATGAGAACGGCAATTTCGCATAAGAGAAAAGAATAAATTATATTGAACGGTCTACCTTGATTAATAATCGGAATTACTGGAGCTAACGGTTCACTAACTCGTATCACTTATCACGAACAGAAAAGAGCTTCGGCGACTGAAAACTAGTGGTCACTTCGGTGGTCAAGAAGGCAAGGTCTTGTAATTTTTGTCGCCCTCATACTTATGCCTTTTCAACTATGACGCTGCACCTCGGCCAGTTCGGAGTGGGGGCGACCACCACCGATCTTCGGACTATTTACTACTAATTGGTACAAAAAAATGACCCTCGCACACCTTCACAAATAATTTTTGATAATTTGTATAAAATTCGGTGTTTTAATAGGATCTACGTCAATTCATCGCCCGACAATTCATCACGCGAAAATTCAGAGCCGACATTTCATCGTAAGACGATTCACCGCTACGACTATTCACCGCAACGACAATTTGTCGCCAGCCATTTTTTAGAATTCATTTTATGGTTTATTTTATTTTTTTTATTATAATCAAAATTTTATTTTATATATTTTTTAGTATAGGTAATAAAAAACAAGTAGGTATATTGAAAAAAAAAATATATTATAAAAAATTGTAGTTGCTAGTTATTACATTTTAAATTGAATTAATATAATATAATAATATTAAATAATTTAGACTTGCATTCGAAAATTATGCGCAATTCCTCGAAGATATTCCATGGTATTACGAGCGTCGTAGGATTCTGTAAGTAGTTTTAAACGACGTGCAGAATCTTTGTAAATTTTTTTTTGAGTCATTTCATTACCTGCCACAATTTGCTCTATTTTCAATTTGTTAAGGCTTTCCTCCTTTTGTAAAGCCTTAATTAGCCTCCAAATGTTGGGATGTGCAATGGAAACAATTGAACTGAAACTGTTATGCCATCCTTCAACTGCATTATTGGTTCTAGCAATTCCCTCTCTGGCTGCATTGTAACAATTCCAAGAAGATATAGGAAATTTTGGTAACCATCTTCTTCCTCTTCTGTCTAATCTACCAATCCACGTGTCTTCAAAATAGTTTATTAAATCTGCTAAGTCCTCGTTTTCTGCATAGAATTCACTTTCCAATAATAAATCAAAAGCACTCTCTACATCGTCTTCAGGAACATAAGCAAGTGCAGCCAGAAGTCGCAAATTTGATGAAAACACTTCTTCATCCACATATCGCCTCTGAAATCCGGTATTCTGGATTTGTCTCCATATACACTGAGAAAAATGAAAAAAGCATCCACGAATTTGAGTATTAGGGAATTCACTTCGTACCGCATTCATCGCTGCTTTTTCGAAATCCATTAAAAAAGATGTAGGGCAAAGTTCAGGTTTCACATTTTTTAATGCTGCATATAAACGTCTATAGCTTTCTTCTCTTTTATTCGGCAGAATTGCATATACTGTTGGAATGGTATTTGAATATTTGACGGCATGGATTGTATATATTTGGGAAAACATATTAGGGGCTGTTGAAAAAGTTCCATCTCCGTACCAGTGTTCACACTCCAACATGTAGTCAAGATTTCTTGCTGTTGCAAACACTAATATTCGATCTTCTGATGGGCCGCTGTCGTACATTAAAAATAACTGACCACTGCTTGTCAGTGTATATTCCTGTGGAATAACTAATTGAAGCAGAGAATTTGGAATCGCAGGAATTCCTTCTGTCTTTTCCTTTTTTCGTTGAATAGTTCTTTTCATTGCACTCACTTGTGGTAATCTGGCTGCAGCCGATGATGATAAACCCTCGGAAACCTTTGCAATGATTTGTTGAGTAGTGGAACCACTTTGTTTAGCTAAAACTTTCATTTTTTTAACAGCTCTTCTTACTTCGGCATCAGAACTATCTGACACATGATTATGTTCGGTACTCTTCACAATTTCATCGCCTATGGTATGAATGCGACCGGTACATCTCCATTTATGATATAGAGAACATTTCATTTCAGACATACTGTATAAATCATAGATACAATACGATATTTTTGTAGCGATAAACTGTCGTAGCGATGAAAAGTCGTGGCGATGAATTGTCGGCTCTGAAAGGTCGCGCGATAAATTGTCGCGCGACGAATTGACTGGATACCGTTTTAGTACGAATATTATTTTATACAGTACACGAGAGTATTTTAAACTACGGGGGCTCGCTCAGCCGTTCAGGATGTGCGATGGCTAGAGAATTCAACATCTTTAAAGAGTACCTGCACGGAAATTAATTAAAATATACATTTTTAAAAATAAAATTTAGTGACTTCGTCACAAAATGATATAACGTTTTTCACTGGAAGTGGCAGTACGCACGGAGTATATTTGTGTCCTTGTTTATCGATATGAAAAAGAAGAAAGTGAGAATACATTCAGAACGTAAACGCACAGAATAAACTATTTTGCTTTTTAATTGAGCAGCTTTAGAAGGCTGGTAGGTACCTATATATTTTATTTTTTATACCATGGGTATGTATAAACATACATATATTGAAATTAAATGCTTGGTCCAAGACCAACAGATGTTTTTAATAATGGTGATTGACCATTAAAACTAATTCATATTAATGTTTAGGTAAATAGGTTATGTAAGTTATGTATCTACTGTAGATACCTAGTTTTAGTTAATCATGGTTTAGAAAACACATTTACTGACTACTTATGTTGTTAGCAAGAGGCAATTTTAAAATAACCTTTAAAGTAATAAATTGAATTTAATATAAAACATATATTTAATGTTTAAAATGTTTTTCCGGTTAATTTTCTGGAATGACTGGTGTTTTTTTCCAAAATCAGCAATCGTTTGGTTCCATTAGGCTAGGGTTCACTTTCAAGAAGGAACAAATGACTGTAATATATTAATTCACTTTTTGATCGAAGTTATACCTAGAAAGTTTTCCACGTTTTTTTGTGAATATTTTTAGTGCCTATAATTTCTGCATTTTTAAAAAGTATATCATTTATGTTTCTATGTATATTTATGGTAAACAAGGTGTCATGTTATTTTTATGTGTTTAATCTGAATCAGGAAAATTGCCCACATAATCTGGCACACCCCATACAGGGTGATTCAGAATAATACCAAAGAATTTTAGATATACAATTGTTAGCCTTAATTTTTATTTTAAAATAGAGTAAGTCAAAAATTTTAAAATTATGCCCTGTATGTTATTGTATCCGCATTTTTTTATCTCAAATAATAAAAGTAATTTTAAAAAGCCGACTTCAAAATCGTGCAGAGAATTTTTGTTTTCTCAAAGATCATCAGATCCTGACCAATTGTATATGAAACTTTATCCCTGAGGTATCTACTTCCTAACAAAAAAAGAATAATAAAGAATTATCGCTGAACATACTTAAAAAAATATTCCGATGAATTGAGAAACTCCTCCTTTTTGGAAGTCGGTTAAAAATAATGGATTTAAACTAAAACACGGTTACATTACAATACATTTACTGTTTAAAATTATCACATTGATTTCGTCAAAAATAACACTGGTGCTCCTTATCCACAATAATTTCGGGATTGTTGTTTCCCTTGGTTGTCATACAAATAGTTTCTGAAGGAAAGTCATCGTTCATTTGGAAAGAAACTTGTTGGGTGTTAGAAATGGTCCTACTCCTTCTAAATTCTTTGTCGTTTTTGACTTTCATCAAAACATATTTTCTTCTTAATTCCATCTGGACCTCACTATTGAACAGACAATAAACGAGAGCAGCAAAAAGGCCCTAAAATATTAAACACGTTTGGAATAGTATATTCTGTAACAAGGTTTATTGAAAATTCGATACGAGTGGAAGACGAACAACGAGTATCGAATTTTCATTCCAACAGAGTAACAGACTGTACTTTCTCCACGGCCACAGACAGAGTAGGAGTTGAATATAGTAAAATGAAACTTTGAATAAAATGAAATATTTGATCTAACTTAGTGTAAGGTAGGGTCTGATTACAATTAGAAGAACACCGCTACGCCATAACCATTACTTCGAATTTCGAGTTTATATTATCTATAAATATCAATAAATAAAAGATAAGTAAGTTGTTAGGTGTAAAACATTATTTCCTATATTACTATAATATTAACACTTCACTAAACCCCCAGTAGGCGGCGATAACCAATTAATTACTTTGTCAAATGACGTAGCTGTGTTCTTAACAAACGCCGCTTATCTTTATTCAAGCAAATTTAAATTAAAAACTAATATGTCGCGTAGAACTGTCAGTCATGAAATTCATGATTAGATACGATGCGGGCGTGGTATTCACAGCCATCGGCCAGTAGCTAATACATAATGAACATTATGTATCTAGAGTTAGATTGAAATACGTGTAAAATACATAAGAGGCAAGTGTTTCATAATTTTCTTTCAATCTCAAGAACGAGAATATTTTCTTTCTGTTATTATAAGTACGGTTTCAGAAGAACTACATTCAGTAGTGGCCGTGGAGAAAAATAAACTTCTGGCTATGGCGGATTAAACAGGGGCAGCTAAACACAAGCAAATGCTACATTTTCTACGCATACGCCATATTTTTGTGAATGCGCTTGTTTTAAACTAACAAGTTAAGTAACGGTCGCCACTTTGAAGTAAAGAAATATAAATCTTTGACCCTCAGCTCCCCCATAGAGGTACTTTCAGAAAACTAATGCACACGAACATAAACTATTCATTGAAACTACATTACGAAAGCTACATTTATTTCTATTTTACTTTGACAATGCTTCACCACCAATAAGGCGTGGATACAATAGAAAATAATGTGTCACAGTGAAGTTTCTGATTTGTAATTAAATACTAGAAGGCTATTAATGTGTTTCAACAATAAATAATATTATAGAAGGATTTTCATTTCAATTCAATTTTACTCAATTTGAATCGAAATATACTACTACTACTACTACTATATTGTTTGAAACAAAAATAGATGTGTCACAGTAGGCTGTACGTACTGTACAGTACTATGTTTGGACCGGAAATCGAAAGTAAATAACTTAGGTCTGTTCAAACAGTGACCAGAAACCTGTTTTGACAATAGGATTCTGTGCAGTAGATTATTATTACCGCCAAATTATATATGCGCAGAATCTTGGTGTCAATGACTAGGATTCTCATCTTTCAATTCGGCACGTGTTGAGTAGCTTCTACCTTCGTTCGACAGAATGTGATTCTTATGTACTGTTTCTCTCTATTCAATACGTAACGTGTTGAGTTCGCACATAAGAATCCCTGACCAGACCTATTATATCAATGAAAAATAATATGTACTATAGTGGAGCGCCTGAGGCGTTAAAAACATGAACACCTCGAACTTGAGCTGCAGTGAATGAAATTTAAAAATTCAAAATGGAATATTTTGCTACTAACATATGTATAAAATAGTTTACCAATTTAAAAATTGTGATCTTGATATAAAAAAAATAAATAAATGGTACTTTCAATATTTTAAATAGTAATCGGGAAAGAGAAGTAAATAATGGAAAATTAAATAAAAACAGAAAATCCTACTAATATGTAAATGCGAAAGTTTGGATGTATGGATGGATGAATGGATGTTTGTTGCTCAATCACGCCAGAATGGCGGAACAGATTCGGAAGAAAGGCACAGAGATAGATTATAGTCTGGAATAGCAAATAGGCTACTTTTTATCCTGGAATAATTTACTGTTTACAGAGCAAGGGATCAGGCATGATTTTTGCATAGTGCGTAGTGAAATATAAAAAATTGAAATACAGCTACTAAGCATAAATAAATAATTATGTGTATCAGAGTGTTTGGAATTTCACATTTTAAGGGAAGGGAAAAATGGGGTGAAAGTTTGTATAAAAGTATCGATTCTTTAAAGGCAGGAACTTGAAAATTTAAATTATAGCTACTCATCACAAATAAATAACGACTTGTTTCAGTGTTTTTAAATTTTCATATTTTAAGGGGAGAAGGGAAGAAAGGCGAGAAAAGGAGTAGAGAGGTTAAAGTTTGGAGGTGGGGTGAAAGATTATATGGAAGCATCAATTTTTTTAAAGGTAGGAACTAGAAAATTGGAATTGTAGCTACTCATCATAAATAAATAGACATTTTTCGGGGTTTTTGGATTTTTACATGTTAACGGGGGAAACGGGAAGTGAAAATTTTAACGAGACTGGGTTTTTTTAAAGGTAGGAACTTGAAAATTGGATTCGTAGCTACTTATCATAAGCAAATAATGACGTATTTCATGGATTTTGGTTTTTCATATTTTAAGGAAGGGGGAAATATGGAGTATCGTAAAAATAAATAATAAATGAATTCTGCTTCAACCATATAAATTTATTCACTGTAGCAAAAGTTTGAGGTCAAAAAACCCCAGGCGCTCCACTACCAGGTAATGCAGAGTTGATGGAGCCTATGCTTATATTTTTAGCTGCTCCTAATAAAACTATTACGACAAAGAGTGCATAAAGGTGGTGCGTATAAATATGGCGAGCCGCGTCTAAGGTGAGTCAACAACGAGCCAGTTCGTCAAATTAATAGCGAAGACAAAAGTTAAACGTTATAGCAGAGATATAAGTTGAAAATGCTTTGCGCAGTTTTCCCACTTCATACACAGAAATGAACAGTTTTTCGGCGGAGCTACTCAAAGTGGACGCAATACACTGGCGTACAAAATTATTTTATAGATGTTAATAACAATTTCGGGTAAATAGTTTAATAAATTGTAAATAGATGTTGAAATTTTGTAGAATTATAAATTGGAATATTATAACACTAGTTTAATAATAATTTCTAATCCATAAAGACGTGCGATTGTCCGGTTCCGCCGGTAACAATTTAAAATTACTTATTCTATGAAACACCACTGACATATAAACATTGCCGCGAAATTATCGAAGTTGCTCGACGTGGTTTGACGTTTCTCTACCTATCAAACGCCTTTCCAACTTCTGCCCCTACTATAAACACATAAACATAAACAGTTAATGTTTATCGACAGTGTCGTATCGTATAGTAAGTTAGAGGACGAATTTAATAATAATAAAAGCTATATTAATATTAAAAGCTTTATTGACCCATTAACATTTTGACCCATTTACAGGCCAATACAAAAATAAATTACAAGCAATTTACAAAAACCATGTTTTGATACAAATGAAATAATAATTAATATTAAGTTGAAAGAAATTTAAATACAATAAAAACAAGTAATTCTCATGAAACAAGAAATAATCAACTTGAAGAAAAATTTTTCAATAAAAAGTATTTACCTAAGATTATAATCCAAATCTAAATATATTTTAGCTATTCTCACAATTTCAGCAATAGAAGAAAATTGAATGTCACAGTAACTCGAAGTTTTATTAAAATTGTTGCTCATTACATATACAGGATGAATCCTAAGATTGATACTTTTTTTTAACTGTTTATAGAAGTCATTAAAACAAACAATTTTTTTAAATAATTAAAAAAAATCTCAAAAATAAGAAACTTAGCTCTGGTGAGTTTAAAAAATACCTGAGATTTAATATTAAATAAAGGTAAATCAAAATTGATTTGGTCCAACAATTCTATATTGTTTATTCTTATGTGCAATAATTTTGTAGAACAACAATAGACGCATATTTTCTTAACAAATCTAAGCTAGAAAATTATAGTCTAGCAATTATTTTCAATCCGAGGTTATGCATAAACACCATTAATTTTAAAAGATAACCACTTTAAAAATCTACGTTAAACTTTCTCAACTAAATATTTCTGTACTTCATAATATGGAAATCAAATAATACAAGCATACTCTATTTTTAAACGCACAAAAAAATATATAATTTTTAATGTTTCTAAATTTGTAAATCATCATTTTTAAAAATAAAACCGCATACATTTTCATTACTTCGAAAGCTTTAGTAGAAATATGATTTTTGAAAGTTAAAATTGAATCAAAGAGAACACCTAAATTTTTTACAGTGATACTCATGAACATTATACGAAAAATGAATAGTTGTCGATTTTCGTATGTAGCTTAAAACCTTTACATTTACTTGCATACAATTTAGGTTTATTATAATCGCACCATTTTTGAACTAATGTAAGTTGATCTTGTAATATACAGCGATTATTTTTTCGTGTTAGACATACGACTAGTATATAAGTTAATAAAATGGCAAGAGGGGAACAGCCAGTCGTCGACTAGAATTAGAAGAAATGGTGGTGGGATATTAGCCGAACCGAATCTGAGGCACAAAGTTAGAGAACATAGCGATAGCGAGGATATCGTAGTTGCCACATGTTCGCTGTGAAAGCACGGTTATGCCTAATACAAAATAATAAGTACTGTATTACAATCACTTAAATTATTGATTGATGCAAATTGTTTTAAATCGTCAGCAAAACATTGTTGTCTACATTTAATAGTATCACATAGTTTATAAAGGAGTGGTCCTAGGTTTGACCTTTGTGGTACCACTCATGTAGTACAGTAAATATCAGATGTAAAACCATGTACTAGATATAAAGTTTATGGGAGGATCATGGCGGACTCAGTTTGCATGCGGATGTAACGAAATTGGGAGCTTCGCGGGAGGATCGTTGGTTAAAAAGTACAATCCAGGATCTAGGCTCGGCTTGGGCGTAGCTCAGCTGCGGCTCGCCATATTTAAACGCACGTTAAGGAAAATAAAGAGTGGTGAATTACATGTCATCATATAGTTACCTGAAAAGCAGCAAATGATTGGTCGAAGAATAAAAAAATTAATTCTAACACAACGCTTTTCTTAACATAGATTGACATTAGCAAAGAAAATGCGTAAGGAACTCCAAAAAGTGGAATCAATATCATTGTGGCCTTCAATAGTTTACTAAAATAAATATGTTAAGGTTTAGAGTACATAGAATTACTTGTGTTATAAAAAATAATCAAAATAATGAGATCACAACACAGGCACGTTGGTTCGGATCCCAGATCTGGCGACCAGATCATTGAATTTTTAATTAATTTGCAATGTTTGTTGTAAGTTTTTATATGTAAAAAACAATTGGCAACGCCAAAGCTATAATTAAAAAAATATGTTTCGGTATACTCACCCATATTTAATTTTCTTTTGTTGAAAGCAGGCATTGTTTAACTTAACTCTGAGAACTCTTACAATAGTAAGAAATAAAATAAAATTTATCTGAAAGAAAATATATATAATAAGTACACATACATATAAAAGTGAAGCAACGTTTATAGTAAAATCAAATATTTAATTTATTTAAAAAAAAATGAGGAATCTTGGAAAGTGGTCATAGTAGGCTGCTGTCGTAAGTGACATGGGATTGTTTGCAAATGTCAAATAAGTTAGTATGTAATAATTTATATCCATAATATATGTATTTTATTAGCGCGATAAAAGTGTAATTTAGTGTAATGGAAAAGAGTGTATGATATAGGTAATAGTAGCCATTAAGATCGTTTAAAGGTGTGTCAGCAGTGCGCAAATTTTGCCCCACTACTGACAAATTAGGATGCGATGCCTTTAGGTACTTTTCAAATACTTTATTAAGATTAACGAAAAAAAAAAAAAGCAAAAACAAAGCAAAAAGGAAGCAAAAAAAAACACCTTTCTAGTAGGGGAGCCCTTTTAATTTATAATTTATTTTTATAAAAATACACATTCTGTAAAACTTTCAACTGTCTACCTATTACTGATCATGATATACAGCGCGCTGACAGACAGACGGACGGACACCGCCCAGACAGCACACCAAATCCTTTAGATATCTACTGCACATCCCAATATCCACTGAATGTCCAGTCCATGGTGGATATCTATTTTATATCCATGATATGTAATTTATAGACATGCAAATGTCCATAAATAATAGTAATTATATAGCAAATTATTAAAAAATTACGCCATTGTGCTCGCCATTGTGGCTAATAGTACCGTTCAGATATTTAAAATTAATTTTTTTAAGGTGTATTCAATATCCCATGGACATCCACTAAATATATCAAAGTCTAGGCGCGAACGCAAACCATCGTGGATATCCACTAGATGTTATTTGATTTTGCTTACTAAGTATAGATGGCGATACCACTGTCGCATCTACTCATGCTTGACCCGCCGTAATGGAGTTCGATCGAAATTTTTGTTCTATTCAGACTCCATTAGAGACTGGAGTCGAGAATTTCCATTTATTGCTGAAGAGTCGTATTAAGGATACTTTCTCCTTAGTGGGCAAAATCAAAGGCAGAGTGTTGAAAATATTTTGAGTGTTGAAAATATTTTTTATATCTGCTATTTTCTTTCGACGTTATTCAATAATCATTGGTTACTTATGAACCTCTCTACTAAAGATAAAATATGTTGCTGAATATCCGAATATCTTTTATATATTGGAATATAGACATTTGGTTGGATATCCATATTGGATATATTGAATATCCACAAAATATATTCTGTGGATATCTCTGGGATTTCTTGTATTTTCTGGAAGATACCCATTAGATATTTTGCTGGATATCCATTAGGATATCTTCTATATTCTGGATATAGACGGATATTTGGATATCCATATTAGATCCACGGAATATTTGTATATATATTGGATATCCACAAAAGATATTCTGTGGATATCTCTGGGATTTGGTGTGTTGTCTGGGCGGAGGCTATGGGTTACCCTTCTCGTACGGAACCCTAAAAATGTAATTTTTCAGGTAAATTAAGCTTAACAGTTTTTTATATGCAGAAATAAATATGCCATAAGAAAAACAAATCTGTACGAAGGTACAAGAAATGGTCGCAAACAGTTTGACTGACTTGCCCAAATATAGTGTGTCAAAAATAATTTCACGTTATAATGAAAGAGGACATGTAAAAAAATGCCGGAATCAAGAAGGCCCAAAAAAATTACATTTTGAATTATTAAGCTAGAATAAAGAGGACGATAATAAAAGTGTCCGCACCTTTGAATTACACTTTTACGTCAAATGTCAATCTCAAGCTAGTTAGTCACTTTTGGTGAGAATAAATGCCATGTTCTTTTAAATAGCATTATTTAAATGATATAAAAACATTTTCATTCCGTCAATTTTTAAATATAAAATTAAACAAATAAACCAAAGTTAATCGCCATTTTGATTCCTATTTTTCATCACTCGCAGGGCGCCCATCTGTCATACCGCAAAATAGTTGTTTATGTCGTTTCTATTTTATTTTCTCGATGTTTTGGATGGCGGCTCGTGGATAAAGACATTGGGTATTCTGCAAGATTCTGCCTTCCTCAAAAATTTTGTTTTTATGTTGTTATAACCTTTCAATCATTGTGATTTTTATGTTGTTAAAGGATAAAAAAAATCTTAAAAGTTATTACAAATTTCTAAATTTCTCGCGCTGATAAAGGGGTATTGTTAAAATAAATTAATGCATACTAACTTATTGGATATTTGCAAACAATTCCATTCTGAAGTATGTTTTAATTTTTACCCTTATTGTTAACAATTTCTTTCTAAATGAAAAAAATGAAGTATATATATATCTACAACTTACCACAACTGTAATACCAATGGGTATATCAATAAATAAAGCTATATAACTATTTTTCTTTGTTGTCCAACACAATACGTTTTCAAATAATACTCTAAGAATAATCCATGGAATTACAAATATCAATGGTAATCCTAAAAATAATAATTGGCACTTTATAATTATTAAGATCTGGCCAATGATATTTTAAAAAAAGTACAAACTTCTAAAATGTGTTTTCAAATAATTAATATTTTATTATTTGGAATAAATGTTTTGTATAATTTGAAAAATGTTCAATCTTACCCCATCCTAATACGCAGTATATAACAACACCATGATGATCAGAAAACAGTTTTAGGAACATTAAATTGTGCAGGTACATTCCTTCCATAAGCATAAGCATAAAGTTTGATAAAATTACATAATATCGAATGCTTATAAAGGCTTTGCAAATCCATGACTGCAAGAAAAAACAACAAAAATTATTTAAATTTAAAAACACAAGATTTAATTAATTTCAATATTTGATAGTTTTTTAAGGAAACTTGTTCTATTGATTCTTCAGCGGTTTCTGCTCTTCTTAACGCTTCTCCATAATAAGGCTACCATAAGAAGGTTATAGTATTCTGTATTTTTCAGGAAGTTCAAAACTCGACATATCTTAAAACTACGTCAGGTTTTGCTAAAAACTTTAAAAAAATCCTCATATGTAAAAATAAGGATGTGAAGGTATCAGATTTACGAAAGGGCAAAGCGGGAAAATGGCGATAACAAGGGATCAGATTAAAAAAAGCGGTATTTTTATAAAAACAGGTCCATGTTCTGTGGAAATCTAAAGCTCTTCCGCTTATATATAAAACAGGTCCCTTTTTCTGGGGAGGTCTGCAAAAAAGTCTTTCTGCTTGAAAAAATTTCTTTATTTATAACTTTAAAAAGCATGGAATTTGAGTAAAAAGCGTGGCATTCGAGTAAAAAGCGTGGAATTTCTGTAAAATGCGTGGCATTTCCGTACTTTGGTGTGACAATTACGCCTAAAGCGGGACGTCCGTCAACCCTAAGTAACATGCCATCTAGTTCTCTTGTTAAGCGGTTGGGAGATATTGAAAAAGTCTCAGTACGGAACAAAAACAAACAAAAGGTGAAGGGTGGCGTAATGGGCCCTAAAATAGGTACCGTGCATATGTGGATAATATTCCGGGAGGTAATGACAGATTTCAATAAACCATTTTCGCAAGCTTTATTTTTTGAATATGAGTTATTTAAATAGCATCATCTAACAGTAAAATCATCGTCTTCCATTCCAGTTGTACGACAGGGAGTTGCGGGAGGGTTGCAATTCCAGTAAAAAAATTATATAAAAAAAAATCATTTTCGCCATGGATGAAACTTGGTGTACACGTTGATATGAACATAAAAATATTAAAAAATATTGTCTTCCACCTGAAAAATAATAAAAAAAATTATAGTCGCAAAGGTGAAACCAAGTGTGCGATGCTTATTTTTATAGTAAGAAAATAATAATAATAATAGTCTTCCACAACACAACACAATGACGGTCGTCTTCAAAGTTGATAAAGGTATTCTCGACATCCATCCTTTGAACACATAGATTTAGATATATCTTACATTTCTAATAAATCTTATTTGACTATGATTGATTCTTTTTCGCGATATGGGCAGGCTTATCCCCTAGATAGTATAACAGGAATATCAGTCGTAGAAAAAGTCTTAGAATTTATTTCACATCACAGACTACCACAAAAAATTACTACCGACAGGGGAACCGAATTAAAAAATTTCGATTTAAAATATTTTTGTAAACTACACCATATCCAATTACATATCACTACCGCAAAAAAATAGTAATTCAAATTCCATAGTGGAACGGTTTCATTCAAGTCTATTAGAACATTATAGATGTTAGATGTTTACAAGAAGAAATTAAAAATTCTGTATTTTGTTATAATAATAGTATACATTCATAGGGACAAAGTTTACGTCATTAGAAATTTTCAAAGAACACTTTGTTAATCCAAATCCCTTTGATTTATTTAGGCGATCACTTAATAATTTCTAATGATGTACAAGATCATAAACAAATTAGTAAACAGATGTATAACAAAATTAAACAACGTAACGAAGAAGAAAAAGAAAATTTAATAAACAAATAGATCTAAACCAGATAACTATTCTAACTAACACTCATGTTTTGTCAAAACAAAATCAAGAAATAAACAATTACCAAAATTTAAAAAGGAAAATGTCATTGAAGATGAAGGTATTTTGATAAAAACGGATAAGGGTACTTATCATAAAAGTATTGTTAGAAAATCGAAAAACAATTTAGAAAAATTGTTACAGGATGAAATCCATTTTGATAACGACGCTGTTCCAAGTACAAGTTCTACAAGTCATTTATATATACCAAATTCACAGTACATCTTCTGATATAAAGATCACTCCGATTGAAAATCTGCTTCCTATTCAGTTAGGAAACGCTAAACTTATATGTATATAGCAAACATACATTTTTACATTATTTAGATTTAGAAATATACAATGCATTGTGGTGCCAATACTCAAACCAGCAAAAAATCCTAATTTAACAGAATCGTACCGTCCCATATCCCTTCTATCTTGCATATACAAAACATTCGAACGTATTATAAAATGCAGATTGGAATTTTTTTTGCACAATACCTAACTCTAATCTGCCACCTGATCAGTACGGTTTTAAAAAAGGCTTGAGTACACTTGATGCCGTCTCACATCTCGTTTCTGACACCCAAATATGCTTCTCACAAAATAATTACCTAGGTGCTGCATTCCTTGATATAGAAGGGGCCTACGAATCGGTAGACATTTCAATTTTAAACAACTCAATAAACAATATCTCTATCCCTTCAAGAAAAGCAAATCTATGTAAGCCACTTGTCGATAGACAAGTATATGTTACAAAAACTAATAACCCACTAATCGGTCCCCGACAAGTATCCACTGGATTGCCACAAGGTCCTGTACTTTCCCCTATTTTGTTCAATATTTTTACTAAAAGCCTACACGAGGATATAAATTGCAATATGATTCAATACGCTGATGATTTCGTATTATATACGACGAACAAGCAATTTCAAAACTGTATAACGGCACTTAAATCGTCTATCTCCTCAGTGACGTCAAATTTTAACTTACTGGGACTCACCTTGTTACCTGAAAAATCCAATATAACTTTTTTTACCCAACATAATCTACCTCAAATAAACTCCATCTCCGTCGATAATATTACATATCCTGTTTCTTCTACTGCAACTTACCTCGGCATCGTTTTAGACAAGAAACTCACATGGAAACCCTTCATTGACAAAATTGTTACAAAATGCAATAAAGGTCTAAATTTTCTTAAATGAATTCGAAAAACTTGGTGGGGAGCCGATCCCAAAACATGCTTAATGTTTTATAATGCATATATTTGATCCATTATTGACTATGGATGCATCTTCTATGGTTGGGCTAGTCAGCATACTTTGAAAAAGCTTGAAATCATGCAAAACTCTGCACTTAGACTGAGCCTTGGCGCAATGTGCTCAACTCCAGTCGAACCCCTACGCTCAGAAGCCCTAAAGCCTCCACTTGAGTTACGAAGAGAATACCTCGCTGAAAAGTTTATAATCAAAAACTCGATTAAAAAAGCAAATATTATACATAAGATAGTACAATTAAATAATTTTGACCTTACAAACAAGTATTGGGAAAAAAACCTTCTCCTCCTTTGTGCTACGTGTTTAGAAATACAACCAATACCTGTTCAATGTTAAGAAAACCTAGTTTAAACAAAACTGCCGATTTCTTTTATGCCTAAGAACCATACAAAATAGTAGTACCTGCCTATGTTGAAACACCTCACATAAGTCAAAATATTTTAAATATCACATTAAATAAGTACCTTGAGCATACAATTATTTATACCAATGCTTCAGGCTGTGCTTTTTTTATTCCAGCACTAAAAGTGAAAGCCAGGTTAAACTCAACAAGTCCACCTCAATATTTTCGGCCGAAGCATTGCAATCAATAAAGTAGTTGAATACATAGAAGAACAAGTGATAGAAAAGGTAGTCATAGTATCAGATTCGCTCTCAGTACTTCAAATTTTATCTCATTCGATAGATATTGTTTCACCATACTTAAATCCAGTTATCAAAAAATTAAAATTAAATATCTCTAGACTAAAGAAAGTCTAGAGATACTAAAGAAAACAGAATTTGATATTCATTTTATTTGGATCAAGGCACATATAGGACTTCAAGCCAACGAAAAAGTTGATCAGTTAGCAAAAGAACCAATGACAAACGAAAGTGCTATCATTTAATGTATAAATCAGTCCAAAAATAAAATAAAGGAAAAATGGAACGAAACATGGATACAATATTGTAAAGGCTCTAAAACCCGTTACACTCTATTACACCCTACACTTCCTAATGAAATATGGCACAAAAATAGCAACCTAAATCGTAGAGGCATAGTAACTATTGCTCGATTAAAGTTTGGTCACGCTTGCTACCCCCCAACATCTTCACAAAATAGGAATTGTGGATTCTAATTTTTGCGACACTTGCAATGAGATATGTGATCTGGATCATATTTTTTTCAACTGTGAAAAATATCAAGCACAACGTCACTTACTGAATGAAAAAATTATTATCATAAAATAGCTTTACCCTATACTTTGATGCACTTGCTGTCTCTAAATAATCTCTCAGTTTTTAATGCCCTTCTGGATTTTGTCAATTCTTGTAACCTAAATTTGTAAATATTGGTTCCTTTGTTATCTATCCTGGATTTATAAACCCGTATTCCTTCCTTTCCGAGGTCTACCTTCCCCAGTGTAATAAAGTCACCCTAAATGACCCCTGGGTAATATTGTATAGGTTAAGTCGACAAACTCAATTCTTGTGTCTGGCTATGTGAGTACATACTCGAAGACCATTAAAAAAAAAAGAAGTAGTTAAACAAGTTAATAATATAGTTAATCATTTTAAATCGATAAAACATAGTATAGTTCATGTTAATGCAACTAACCCTACATCTTATCATAGCTTATCACAAAATATGTTAAGGTGATTACAGCACCCCCTTATAATTTTCGGACAAGGATGTCTCAAAAAGTAATTTTTTTAGAAAATTTAAATTTGGGCAAAATAAATTAGGCAATAATATCTAGAATGTGCATATTTTTTAAAGTTTTAATTCCTTCCAGTTTCCGAGAAAAAAAATCAAAGGGCTTTAAATTTTAAAATATCATAATGAAAATAAATGCATTCCTCAACAGCACTATTCTTAATACAATTCCCAAATTTAAGCTCTTAATCTCTTGTTAATGATTTTTTAAAATTCGCCGAAATTAGTGGCTAAAACGCCTCGTTAAGTGCTTTTTTCTAGTGTAACGCGTCTGTAACTATCGTA